CCTATAACTGAGGCATCGTCCCTGGATGTTCCTGAATCCATACCTGAGGTAAACACTAATCCTACTCCTATTTCTTCAAATGGACCTTCTATTACTAGCATAAATGGTCCCATCTTACCTGTTAGAATGTCACAAAGGCCAAATAAAGGTGTACCAAAACAGCTTTATGAACTAGATCCAAACTCTAAGGTCAAATACCCTATCGGTAACTACATGTCCAATCATAGGTTGTTAGAATCATATATTGCATCTGTTAATCAATTGTCTAGTATATTTGTTCCTAACAATGTGCAGGATGCTTTGGATGATCCAAATTGGAAGGAAGTCATGAATGTAGAAATGAAGGCCTTACAAAAAAACTCAACGTGGGACCTGCTTCCTTTACCAACCGGGAAGAAACCAATTGGATGCAAATGGGTGTTTCCTGAGAAGCTTAAAGCAGATTGTAACACCCCGTGTTAACCTGGTTTGTTAACATATCATCGTATTAAGCTGCACTTAATTAAAAATGCGAAATATCTTTTTCTTTTCAATTATGATGTCATTAATCATTACCAACTTCCTTACTTAAACAGTTAATAAAACACTGCCTGTATGTAAATTGCAAAAGACAACTAACTGAAATACCTCATTAATTAAATACATAAATATGTCTCTAGTCACGGAACTACAACACGTAGACCGGACAACCTTGATAGTTTATACAACTCAGTTAAACTAAGACATAACAGAAATCAAAGTGGCATGGACAAACCCCATGCTCACCCAAATAAGGCACAAGCCCAACAACAGTCTCAACAACAACAACATAATAAAAGCAAGCTAAAGACATAACATCAACAGATAAATCCAGCATCCAACCATGTCAGCATATAAACATTAATATCATCAACTAAGCTCCGACCTTCTGTCGCCAGAGGCATCAGCCCCCAAGTTACCTGAAATAAGCGCCCCAAACGTGAGGTGAGATCTCTAAACAAGAAATCTCAGTAAGACAAGGGGTCCTCAAGGATCTTCCACCCCAAGCTCACTTACATGTGCAATATAAGTTCAAAAGCAGTTAACAGTATAAGTTCTCAAAATAGTGCAATGTAGCAGATAATCATGTCATGTGTGTTATAACAATTCTACTGATCAGAGAAGTGTAGGAATCCATCTAAACCCACACGGTACTAGCCATTCGCTGCACCTACCCACAGGACCGCCCATTGGCCTCTTGTAGGCGTAACAACATAATACATATCATAAGCAATTGCACTTAACAGCTCATCAGCATTTCAATAAAACAGTACATAAAAACACATCATGCATACAACCATCCCCCCATGGGAAATGGTGGAACCAAACAATGGTTAAACCGATGACACGAAAGCTTACCTCTTAAGCTAACTATCCAATCCAAGAGTCCACACAATCTCAAAACCCACAAATAGCAAGATCACAATCTGTTTAGACCAATTATAACATCAATATCCATACTCTATAAGCATACTAAAAAAGACAACGCCTTTTTCTTACATTTTACGTCTTTAGGCTCCTCACGAAGCCACAAGCCCTTAATCACTTAGATTCTGACTTAGTTTATTATTACAGAGGTTCAACATAACCCACCATGGGTCCACAAACCCATAAATATCATTCTGTATGAACAGTGCAGCCACTATTCATTGAAAATCCAGAATATCCGGATATTTGTCGAGGGCATATCCTGATATCCCATATCCGGATATCCATATTCGGATATCAGAAGACCCCATATCCAGATAGCAATATCCGGATATCATATCCGGATATTTCGCGACAGAATGCAATTATGCATTTTGCGAGATATCCTTCCCAAATGTGACTCATTTCATGCATACAGAAGCCCAAACATGCGATTTAAGGTGTGTTTAACATTACCCAACCTTAAGTTAGCAACTTTAGTTCATTAAATGCATCAAGGTTTCATTTTTAATCATTAAACTCATGATCAAAGGTTGTACAACTTACCCAAGGTTCAAAACAGAAATGGATGATGCTCTTAGAGGTCACTTGAAGCTCTCAAAGTCCAGCACACACAAGGACACAAAATGGCACACCACCAAGGTTCTTTCTCACCAAAAATGGCTTCTTAAAGCCTCCAATGGCATGAACAAAGGCTCACACCAAGGGACACACCAACTCAGCCCCTCAACACCTCACTAGCAGCAACTAAACTCAGAACACATGGCTTTTCTCCCACACAAGTCTCAACCACACCAAACCATAGTGTTTTGATGAAGAAAGGGTAGAGAAATATGGTTACTTTGGAGGTTTCTAAGAGAAGTTGAAGGTGACAAGGAGAGGCTGATCATCAGTCACAATTCCTCACGTAGAGTTAATAGTATGGCATAGGGTTGTGTGCAAAAGTTGCATTTATAGTCACTTAGAAATTAAACACACAGTATTAGCGCTAATAGCTACGCTTAGCATTTTAATCCCAAACTTTGGAATCTGAACCTACTCATTTTTCTAAGATTTATCATATTTTTATTTTATTTTTCGCAGCACCTTTCCGGTACGCGCTTTTCCATAGCCAGTATCATTTCTGGCACCATTTCTCATTATTTTAACTTGAAACTTGTTTTACAAGTCCTATATATTATTCTAGGAATTATCATTCACTTATTATAATTTTTCAGGACACTTTTTTGGTACGCATTTATACCGAGTAACATAACCGATATCTGCACTTTTCGTTAGAAAAGCGACTTTCAGCATTATTACCCACTTACTATAATTATTTAAGCCTCATAATAATTATTAGAGTCAATTGTGGAATCATTTCCTAGTTTCTCATAATTAATTAATTAACTTCCTTAATTAACGGTGCAGGTTCTTACACAGATGGCAGTCTTGACAGATATAAAGCCAGATTAGTTGCTAAGGGATACACACAAAAATACGGGGTTGATTACCAAGATATATTTGCACCAGTAGCAAAACTGAACACAATTCGTATTCTGATTTCTATAGCAGCTAACAAAGACTGACCACTCAAGCAATTTGATGTAAAGAATACATTTTTAAATGGAGACTTAGAAGAAAAAGTATATATGGAAATTCCACCAGGCGCCAAACATGCCAACTTGAAGAGAAATGAAGTGTGTAGATTAAAAAAAGCACTATACGGCCTCAAGCAATCACCTAGAGCTTGGTTTGGCAGGTTCACTCTAGTCATGAAGAAGTTTGGATACAAACAAAGTAATGCAGACCACACCCTATTCATAAAACATAATGGAGGAAAGGTAACAGTGTTAATAGTGTATGTTGATGATATGGTTTTGACTGGTAATGATTTATTTGAAATGGAGTTATTGGAAAGACATTTAGCAAATGAGTTTGAAATGAAAGATCTAGGATCATTACAGTACTTTCTTGGAATTGAAATTGCTAGATCAAATCAGGGGATTTTTTTGTCACAAAAAAACTACATTTTAGATCTACTTGCAGAAACAGGAATGACAGAATGTAAACCAGCAGAAACACTAACTAAAATGAATCATGTATTGGGTTTATATACTGATCAAGTATAGACTGATGTTGGCAGATATCAAAGGCTAGTAGGGAGGCTAATTTATTTATCACATACTAGGACAGACATTGCTTATGCAGTTAGTGTTGTGAGCAGATTTATGCACAACCCAAGTGAGGATCACATGGCTGCTGTGTATCGAATATTGAGGTATTTAAAAGGGTGTCCAGGGAAAGGTCTGCTTTACTCAAAAAATAATAGTCCTAGAATTAAAGGCTACACAGATTCAGATTGGGCTGGAGATAAAACTGTCAGACAGTCAACTTCGGGATATTTTACTTTTGTTGAAGGCAATCTAGTTACTTGGAAGAGTAAGAAGCAGAAAGTTGTGGCTAGATCGAGTGCAGAAACAGAGTTTAGAGGAATGGCACATGGAGTGTGTGAATTGTTGTGGATTAAGAGCATCCTACAAGACTTAGGAATCTGCTACAATCAGCCTATGGAGTTACATTGTGATAATAAAGTTGTTATCGAAATTGCCCATAATCCAGTTCAACATGATAGAACCAAGCATATAGAAGTGGATAGACACTTTATCAAGGAAAAGCTAGATCAAAAAGTTATTCAATTTCCTTACATCAAATCCGAAGATCAGTTAGCCGACATCTTGACAAAGGCTGTATCAGGAAAAGTGTTTGAAGAAGCAATTAGCAAGTTTGACATGATTGATATCTATGCACCAACTTGAGGGGGAGTGTTGAAATGAGATCATATTTGCTGAGTTGTACAGTTGTTGGAATTTTAATCGATTACACAATTACATAATCATAGGAGATTTGTATTAAATAGATTAATTTTCTTATTTGCAGTTGATTCACATAATCATAGGAGTTTTGAATTAAATAGAAATAGTAACATGTTATTTCATTTCCTTATTCATAGCTGATTGACAGCTAATTTATAATGGACCTAGAGTCCTCATTTATGTATATAATTACCCCAGTAGAGGAAGAATAAACATGCAGAAATATTCATAATATGGTACCATTGTTTTGACAATTGTAAAACCTCAATATTACCGAGAATTTTCTCACGTTTTATTTGCTTTGCTAATCTTTCTAAATGCCTAACTTGTCTTTTTATGGAGAAGGATGAAATATTACTGTTAATTTTTACAGTGACTGTTGGGAACAATGTTATTAAACTCGACCCAGTCATCGACCCGGTCGAGGTACTGGGTCACTGGTTCAACCGCATGACCCGGTAAGTATATGCAAAACCTGTAATTTATACTCAAATACCTGTAAAAAAAAAAATACTAATTCCAAATATTCTAATTTAAAAAGAAATAAATCATATATTATTGTCCAACAAAAGATAAAACAAATATATAATATTTGTCTAGTTCTTAAACACTTAATATCTATCACAAGTTTAGAACAATAACTCTTGTCGATATCAAGAGAAAACAAACAAATCAAATTACTAGCACAAAAACATATAATTATGCCCACAGAGGCAAAGTTGTGTCAATTAATTCATCATCTCCTCCTTCATCAAATAAATCCAAAGCTTGACCAACATTGCCTTCAGTTTGATTTGCATTTTCCATGGTGTTGTCTTGTGCCTCATCTTCATCATCATCATCCAAATTTAATTGATCTAAAACAAATATTATTTTTTCATGTAAGTTAGTTATTAACATGAAGTAATCAAACAATCAAATAATCATAGAACAATAAGTAAACACACCATTATCATCTAGAGTTGGTTGAAAGGACATATTTGCAAGCTCATTCCGTAAGGTTTCCATTTCTTCAGCTGTTAAGTATGGTGGTGAATCCTCTAGTACCCAATTAGAATGGTCCTCAAATGTTTCAAAATTTATTGGATCATAGTTTTGATTCTTCAATCGATTCCTATGCATAAAAAAAAAAATTGTTCAATTTTCAACATTAGAAATACTTGGAGAAATAATTATATAAAAAAAAAGTAAATACTCAATAATACCTTTGTGCCAGCCTCAAGTTGTAACGGACATAGACAAGATCATTAAGCTTTTGGTGCTCTAATTTATTTCTCTTATTCGAATGAATATGTTCAAATGCACTCCAATTGCGTTCACAACCCGAAGCACTACATGTTTGACTTAAAACACGAACAACCAATTTTTGCAAATTTGGTGCACCACATCCATAAGATTCCCACCATTGATCTAGAATATTGCATGCGATAAAATAAATTAGTATTAATATTATTTAGCAATAATAAGAATTAATGCTCATAAAAAAAAGATATCAATGATAAATTTTACCTAGCATCACGGTATTTCGTTCGCGTTTAGCAGATGGCCTTCCAAAATCTAACTCAGCATTTTTGAATATTCTCATATCACTTGTCAACTTAGAATTTAAATCAGGATCCCCATAAGCGTATTTCTCAATGACATCCAAAAGGCCTGATGTTGTGAACTTATGTTTTTCAAATTCTTCATCATTGTAATGACAACCTGGATTCAACCAATAACCAACAGCATGAAGATTTTTGCGAAGCTGTGAATACCAACGACGATCTAAGATTTTCATGTAAGGTTCCACCTTCTTCTTGTTTCTTTGAAATCTCTTTATCATCTCCTCTCTAGCTTTAAATATAGCTTGATAAAGAAAACCCATGGCAGGTTTGTTTTCACTGTCAACAATATGTAACACACGAATAAGTGGCTCAGTAAGCTTCACAATCTCAGCACATTGTTTCCAAAAATTAGAATCTCAAACTTGTTCCACAATTTTTTTTGCCTTGGCCTCCTTAGAATAAGTTGAGCTTGTCCAATCTCTAGAAGTTACCATAGCCCTTAATGCATCTTTTTGAGCCAATATGCTTTGTAATGCAATAAAATTAGTGGCAAAACGAGTAGGAGCTGGACGAAGAATTTCCCTTCCACCTGTATATTTTCTTATCAAATGCAATGGTTATATATGTATTTGGTAATTGTAGCAGCATGAGACACAACAACACTTACTTCCTCTAACTTCCCAATGTCATGTAACATCAAATTTATACAATGAGCAACACAAGGAGACCAAAAAATCTTAAGAAACTCAGCTTCCAATAACCTTCCAGCAGCAACATAATTTGCAGCATTATCAGTCACAATCTGAACAACATTTTCAGGGCCAACATGCAACACTACATCTCTAAAAAGCTTATACAATAAATCTGCAGTTTTAGAAGCATTTGAAGCATCAACCGACTTGAGAAAAATAGTTCCTTTTGGGCAGTAAACTAGAAAATTGATAAGAGTTCTCCTATAACGATCAGTCCACCCATCTGCCATAATAGTGCATCTTGTTTGCTTCCAAACAATGCGATAACTCTTAACAAGTTTATTGACTTCTCCAACCCACTTATTTAACAAATGACCACGAACTTTATAAAAATTTGGACCTTTATACCCTGGACCCATGCTACAAATAGCATAAATCATTGGCTGGTAATATAATGAATTAACAGCATTAAATGGCACACCAGCATCAATCATCCATTTGGAAATTGCAAGGTCACACTTCTCCATTACTTCTTTACTTTGCAACACACTTTTTATGCCAGGTTAAGCTCCAGGAGTTGTTCTAGGCATAAAATAAGAACATAAAGGATTAATACTCTTCCCCTTTTGAGTTGTAGAAGGTGCTTTTCTTGATGGATTTTGTGGCACTTCATCAACTACTCTCACTTGATCTTCATCTAATGGATTACTATCTTCATATTCCTCTTGAACTTTTCTTTTTTTGTTCCTGTCCTCATCAATATTTTGCTTCATTTGAAAACGAATATCTGCTGGAACCTTCTTGCATTGTTCAACTTGCCCTTTTTCTCCTGCCAAGTGAATCTTAAGTTGATTGATGCCGCCTCCCCTGATTATCTTATCACAATAAAGACATATTAGAACAGTTTTTCCATTCTCTTCAACACGTTGTTTACAGTGTGCCCAACTTGGATCAGTTTTTCCCTTGTGTTGATTTCTTTGAGATGATTGTTGAGATGAAATTTCTTGTGAGACTGGTGCTTCAGGTCCAGTAGATGACATATCTAGCTATAAATCAAACCAAACTCAAATAAAATTCAACAGGTTAATGAACCAGCACCAACACACACACACACACACACATATATAAAAAAAACTCTATATACAATAGTCTGTTTGAAAAGGTAGTTTATGTGATGCGACCAGATTGGCAGTTCACTCAACAAATTAACAATCCCGTCACACCCTAGCAACCCAACTATCATGTTTATGCAAAGCTACACTCAGAAGGTCGAGAATCAAAACTGTATTTCCAGTTTGTTATTGAAATTACAAATTACAATCGATTATTATTAAGGGGAGTCATCAACGAGTTATCTCCTAAATTTACACGACACCAAACCAAATGTAACACCCCTAACTAGCTTAGGAGCATTACACGTAGATAATATATGCTTGGATAACAAAAAATTTCAAAACCACTGCAGAAGCTACTTATCATATACATTATCGAAGTAACTCATGTATGCATTCCTAAACTGATTATACCAACAATAATAACAATAAAAGGAAGATTCTTAAGGAGAAGGTTCTTTTGCAGAAAAATAATCTCATAGAGTGGTAATATTTGTTACTAAAAAAATAAAGATGACATTAAAACACAAAGTGGTATCAAGAAGACAAACCTATTTCACAAGCTTTATCTGCTACTCTTGGTTCTGAAATTAAACAAATAATCCAATAATTACTAAAAAAAACATAGATAAAAAACCAAAATTAGCAAGTCAACTAATCACTAATTGTCTGTAACTTTAAGGAAAATTGTAAAGTAATGTAATACTTCAAGGCTTCAAGTTCAAGGCTTCAAGCAATTAACAAATCAGAAACCCATTTGCATTGATGTCACCCAAATAAAAAAGGGTACACTAAATTGATAAATTATTAGGAAAGTAAGAACTAAGAACCCATTAACAGGAAACGTGGTTCAGAAAGCAAATAAAACATGAAAAGTGGTTAAAGTAATCACAAGAAAAAATCTAACAGGAAAAAGGAAACTTGTAAAGCATCACGTATGATCGAAGCAAATAAAAGATAAAGCAACCCAAATAGGAACTGTCCAAAAAGTGGTTTAGAAAGACAAAGCATTTACCTTTGAGTTGATCTAAGTTACCCTCCTTGATCTTCTATCTCCAACACCCATAGAAGCAACGAAGGGCCTTTGAGATTTAAGGCGAAGAAGTGCTTGAAAGTTGAAAACTTGAGTTGAGATGAGAGGGTTTGAGAGTTGAGACCGAGAATAAAGCAAGAAAGAACTGATCAGATGTGATTCTTATTACACGACGTCGTATTTGAGTTTTTTTTTAATTAATACGCATGACCCGTCCGGTTTGTGTAAAACCCGTCCGGTTCACCGGTTTTCCTAAAACCCGGCCGGTTCACACTAGGTCGTACCGGGTCCGTGACAAGTCCGATCCAACAAACAAACCGGCCCGGTTTAGTGACCAGGTCACCGGTTTCCGGGCCGACCCGGCCGGATCGGTCCGGTTTTGATAACATTGGTTGGGAATACTATATTGTGATGGGAAATCAAGGAGTTGTAGCTGTATTTTATCCTGACAGGGTGGAGACTTATGCGTATACTTTGGACTAAACAAGGATCATGTACTAGTGTGTGACTGAAGAATGTTATATATATATATATACACACATATATATATATATATATATATATATATATATATATATGGGGAAGGATATTGTAACAAACAAGTTGTGTTACTACCAAGTTACTACTAATCAATCTCACCGTTAGATCGATCATGTGGATTCAATGGTTATATTTGTTTCCATCTTTGAATGGTCATGATTTTTCAAATTTAATACTTTATATTTTTTTCCACCTTTGTATGGTTATGATTTTTCATATTTAATGTTTTCACTTTAAATTTGGAAATCATGACCATACAAAGATGAAAATAAATATAACCGTTGAATCAACATGATCGATCTAATGGTGAGATTGATTGGTAGTAACACAACTTGGTTGTTACAATATCCTTCCCCTTTATATATATAGTAAAATAATGTAATCTGACGTAGGATGTAGAACTAATGTAAAATAATGATGTAAGTTAGGAAGTAGACTAAATAATGATTTTACCATATATATATATATATATATATATATATATATATATATGAGGTAGGATTCTTTGACACCGGTGTCAAATTTGAAGTTTGACACCTAATCTGAGAGTCATTAGATCAAAAAAGATCAACGACTCTGATTTGTAAGCATGTGACACCATTGATCTTTTTTTATCTAATGACTCTCAGATGAGGTGTCAAACTTCAAATTTGACATCGATGTCAAATGATCCTACCTCTATATTTAGTACTTCAAAGATTTTTTTTAGTTTTGCTCCAAATAAAATTTTAAATGTTTTTTTATTATACTTTATGTTATTTTTCCTTTACATTATTATTATTTACTTAAAATCTGGGCACCTATTATATTTTATTCAAATTTTCCATTTAATAAATATGAAAATTAATTTCCATTAAATCATACATTATTCTATTTTTTCTAAATTAATATTTTTTAATTTTAAATGCCAGCAAAATCCTGTATCAGTATTTTCTTATTAATTAAAATCAAGACATTAACTCTTTAATTTAATATTATTGTTCTATATAATATTATATATATTATCGTCTTATTTCTTTAATTTTTTTAATGTGTGTCTCATTATTCTAATTGCATTAAAATATAATTAATTTTTTTTTGAATCTTTTATTGTTAGTTGATACATTCAAACTTTTTGTAGTAACGATAATAATAATAATAATAATAATAATAATAATAATAATAATAATAATACTACTACGGAAAAAGTATCTAACGTTACTTTAGACAACTTTGTCTAATGTTCCTCGAAACGACGTCGTTTTGAGGTTGAAAAATTAAAAAATTAGAAAGATAAAGACTATTATAATCCTGAAATAAATTAAAATTACAAAAATACCATAATTTTCATCTCAAAACGACGTTGTTTCAATGAACATTAAATACAGTTATCTAAAGTAACTTTAGAAAAAATAAACCCAAAATAATAATAATAATAATAATAATAATAATAAAGTTTGAAGTCACAAACTTCTAAACCAACCCAATTCCTTACCCTTACCAATCGATTTATGCAAGTGGCATTCTTTGATTATATCCTATCCCATACATTTATAGAACATAAATTTACGTAATTAAAAGTTTGAAAATAATTATCGGAGTCAAACTTTTTATGCGTATGCTGCACTGCACACAGTTTTAAAACCCAATCCAAGCCCAGTCGAGAGTTCACTTTCTAGGTTTTTCCCCTTTTCGGTGTTCTCTCTTTCAACTTAGAACTTGAAACTTCATTTTGTTCTGTGTTTTCGCAACAACTCCCACTTCAATCTCGATCCTTCGATTCCAATGGCGTCAAAGTTCGGCTTAGCTGGCGGGATTCCAGAGCGCAGGGTTCGCCCTATATGGGACGCCATTGATTCTCGTCAGTTTAAGAACGCTCTCAAGCACGTTACCACGCTCCTCTCCAAGCACCCTAATTCCCCCTACGCTGTCGTAAGAACCCTAATTCTCACTTCTCACCCTCAATGCATTCATTCATTCATATCATTTCTTTCTCTATTGTCAAATTCAACTTGTTTCGTGTTGTAAATTTTTTCCTATTAGGCTCTCAAAGCTCTCGTTCTGGAACGATTGGGGAAGCCTGATGAAGCTTTCTCTGTTTCCCTCAATGCCAAGGAGCTTCTTTACGCTAATGATTCTATGTTGATGGATGATCTTACTCTCAGTACACTTCAGATTGTTTTTCAGCGATTGGATCATTGTCAGTTTGGTTATCTTGTTTCGTTTTATTTTTAACTTTTTTTTTTTTTGGTTTCTTGTTGCGTTTGATATTGTTATATGCAATGTTTTGAAAACCAAACTGGAGATTGAACTGGCGCGAGCTTTGAGTCGTGGTTTGATTGGTTTAACCGACTAATTCGATGGTTCAATTAGGGTTAAATCGGGTTGAAGCAGCTGGTTGGGTTTGGTTTTTGAATCATTGGTTGTATGTGTGTTTGTTTGTTGTGTGTATTGGTTGTTGACTAAAGTTTGTTTATTTGATCAGTGGAGTTGGCTACCGGCTGTTATGAACATGCCTGTGGTAAATTCCCAAATAATTTGGAACTAATGATGGGGCTTTTTAATTGCTATGTTCGTGAGTACTCTTTTGTGAAGCAACAACAGGTTTGCCTTTTTTGTGTGTGGGTGTGCGTGTATCTCTATGTTTATTATTATTATTTTTATTTTATAACTTCACCCTTTCCTATTTTCTGATTGACAGACAGCTATCAAAATGTACAAGCTTGTTGGAGAAGAAAGGTTTCTTCTTTGGGCAGTTTGTAGCATCCAATTACAGGTTCTCCTCACTTTTTTTGTTTTTTTCCTTCATCAGCAAGTTATCTTGCGTGACATGTATTGAAGAGTTCTAAATATGACTTGAAGTGAAATGTCATGATATAATGGAGAGATACAAGAAAGTAGAGTATATTTAGAACTTCACGGGCACCACTAGAACATTAGTAATATGTTGGTTCTTACTGTTTGTGCTGGCCCATGGTTTAGTATTTTCGTTTTGAATAGTTCATTTTAGAATGAACAATATTCTGATTCTTAGGATTTTTTCATTTATCTTTTTACCCCCTTTCTTTTGGTCAAACTTGTAATTATAAGTGTTAGAGATGAAATATAGAACCATTCATGTGTCTTTACCTAACAACTTAAACTTTCAGTATAGTTGGTTCATAATATGATATTAGAACCTCTATGACCAAGTGGTTTAATGTTTGATCGTTGCTGCCCCTAGTCATCTTTCTCTAATAGAAAATTGAATTTTAGCATAAGCTAGATGGGCTTGTGCATTGTCCATGCTTTAAACCCAAATGACTCTTATGCGAGGGGATGTGTTAAAGATATAATATAAAACTATTCATGTGTTTTTACTTGGTAGCTTAAGCTTATGGGATAGTTCATGACATTAAGAATAAGATATTTATAAATACTAATTGATACCAAGCTTAAGATATGATAGTATTCTTTAGTGCCTAGTAGATGATTGCTCAAACAACATATAACACTAGGAAAGACTTCAAAGGAGTGCACAAACTTTGTAATTTGTGCCAAACATATTTAAGTCAATTAGTCAACACATTTACAAGAAAAGACAATAGTTTTTAGAAAATATTTTATATGCAGCTTGGATTGCTCTCAAGGCCTGTCGGTCACCAGAGCCAAAATCAAAGCTGTTTATGATTGCAGTATCACAACAGTCTAGTCTGGTTTCAGGTTCAAGAAGTTTTGCTCTCATTCATAAAAAATGCTGTATAAGTATATATATGCATATATATGCAAGGCTACAATGTGTTTGGCAAAGAACCTACACAGATACTATTAGGTGCACCTGGATAGCACATAATGTCTAGCTAAATGGGGATTTAATGAGTTGCAAAGATATGGTCTTAAGTTGGGGAATGTTGTAGTTGATATCTGTAACACCCCGTATATATCCGGTAATGTTATCACTATCGTATTAAGCTGCGCTTAATTAAAAATGCGGAATATCTTTTTCTTTTCAATTATGATGTCATTAATCATTACCAACTTGATTACTTAACCATTTTCAAAACATCGCCTTTATGTACATTGCAATAAACAGCTAACTGAAATACCTCATTAATTAGAATAGCATAAGTATGAGTCTCTAGTCACGGAATTACAAAACGTAGACCGGACCATCTAACAGTTTATACAACTCAACTCAAAAGTACTAACAACATAGTGGCATGGACAACTTCCATGCTCACCCCAAATAAGGCAACAAAGTCCACATAAGTCTCAACTCAACAGCAACATAAAGATAATGGCGGAAAACATAAACAGCATCCAATCCAGTCATGCCAGCATAATATGAACAACACTAAACATCAACTAAGCTCTGGCCTCCTGCCGCCAGAGGCATCAGTCCCCATACTACCTGAACCTGAAATAAGCATTCCCCAAACGTGGGGTGAGATCTCTAAACAAGAAATCTCAGTAAGGCAAGGGGTCCTCAAGGATCTTCAACCCCAAGCTCACTTACATGTGCAATATAAGTTCAAAAGCAGTTCATCAATATCATTTCTAAAACAGTGCAATGCAGCAGATAATCATGTCATGTGTGTCAATACTATTCTACTGGCCAAAGAAATGCAGGATTTATATACGCCAAATACCCACACATAGTGCAAGACGCTACTTGCATCCACCCCGGATCACCGTATTGTATGACGCCACATACTCAGGCTTACCGTCAAGATGGAACAACACATGCATATTAAAAGCCATTACACATAAAAGCTCAACAACATTTCAAATATCCAAAGCATGTAACACAGCATGCATATAACCATACCCCCATGGGACATGATAGAATCACAACATGGCTAAACCGAGGACACGAAAGCTTACCTTGCAAGCTAACTATCCAATGCCAAGAGTCCACACAAGCTCAAGGCCCACAAACAGCAAAATCACAATCTGCCCATACCATAATTAATCATCAATAATCATAGCTCAGATTACACAAGTGATTACGTCTTTCTTACTCATTTTAACTCATTACATGCTGTTTATGCAGGAAGTATTCGAATACTCCATGAGTAGTATTCAATACTCCAGCTCTCCAGAAAGTATTCGATTACTTTCACTAAAGTATTCGAATACTCACAAGTATCCGAATACTTTTCCCCCCAGTATCCGAATACCAAACCTCACTGTATTCGAATACCTTCCAGTATTCGAATACTTCTTCAAAGGTATCTGGTATTCCAATACTCCTGCAAGGAGTATTCGATTACCAAGGACAAGTATTCAAATACTTCTCCAACAGAATGCAGAAATTCGAGCCAACTTCTGCATAATGTCAAATTTAAGGATCCAAAAGCGATTGAGAGTCCAATGACTCCTTAAACAGATAACCACCAACATGTTATGAACCCCAAAACACATTCCTTTACTCAAAAGGTTAAAGTTCTTCTTTTTAATTGATTAAACAAGCTTTAGGCCTCAAAATGACACTAATGTGATCATGGCTCACCTCAAGAGCTCTAAACTCCAAAAATGAAGCAGAAAGGAAGCCTCCAATGCAACCCCCAAGGTTCTGACTTCACAAGGCTACGAAAATACACTTCAAGCTTGACCCTTTGTGCCAAAAGGTGGCTTCTTGAAGCTCAAGAAGCCAAGAACAAGGTCACACAACCCAAACCCAAGAAGACAACCCCAAAGGCAGTCACTTCACCTCACCACAGAGGCCACAAACTCAGAATGGTACACTCCACACCCTCCCAAGGCCAACTCATACAAGGCACAAGTGTTTAGATGGAAGAACAACCAAGAAAAGTGGTCTCTTGATGGGATTTTGCCAAGAACAAGGGAAGAGTGGCAATGGAACAGTGCACACACACCCCTGACCAGCCAACACTCACGTAGGGAATAGAATTAACCTAAGGCTTTGAGCCCAAAAGTTATATATATAGTCTCATTAACTCAAACCACACAGTATTAGCAAAAATAGCTACGCTTAGCATTTTAATTCCAAACTCAGAATTTTTAACCTACTCAATTTTACAAGAATTATCATATTTTTCGCAACACCTTTTCGGTACGCGCTTTTCATAGCCAGTACCTGTTTCCGGCACCAGTTCTCATTATTTTAACTTGAAACTCGTTTTACAAGTTCTATATATTATTCTAGTAATTATCATGCACTTATTATAATTTTCCATGACACTTTTTCGGTACGCATTTATACCGACTAGCAGAACCGGTATCTGCACTTTTCGTCAGAAAAGCAACTTTCAGCATTATAACTTAATTACTATAATTATTAGAGCCTCAATATAATTATTAGGGTCAATTATAGAATTATCTCATTAAACTCATAATTAACTGATTAATTTCCTCCTTAATTAACGGCGCGGATTCTTACAATATCGATATTTGATGCTAACATCAAAAATTTTCTGAACCAAACTCTCGAATGCTATAGTGGGATTTATTTGTAACTTGGTTTTCAAACATGCTAGATCTTATGCATCTAGATTCCTTGTGACGTTTTCAGCAATAGTTCTTTGATGTGACATTGTTTCTGTTTTTCTTTTAGATACATTCTATTGACTTATTTTATGGGAATTGGACTCCTGATAGGTACTTTGCGACAATGGAGGAGATAAGCTTTTACTTTTAGCTGAAGGCTTACTTAAAAAACATGTTGCTTCACATAGCTTACACGAGCCTGAAGGTGATCATCTTATTTCTTTCTTGCCTATTATCATTATTTTGATAAAATAAGAAATTCACTAAGATTAAAGAGATATTGGAGGTAAGAGGTCCTCCTGAAAAATACAAACAAAAGAGATGAAAAACTTCAATGAAGCAAAGGTACCCACCCCCTAATGTGCTAGGGAATCTTCTCTAACAAGACCACGACACTAAGTTGAAACCATTGCTCACTTAGAGAGATCTCCTTAAGGATATGATAATTGTTCTCCAACCATATTCACCAAAGCGTAGCATGTACCATACACTGTTACGACCTATATTAGGAAAATAGTTGGGGCATTAATTAGTGGCCCTTGTTAGTGTAATTGTTGTAGTGGCAGTTAAATTTGTTAGTTAGGTGGTTTGGTTGTTCAGAGTAGTTAGTCCCTTGTGTATATAAGGGCAACATTCATTCTGTCATGAACATCTTTGGAATTGAATTGCAGAATTGACTGAGAAGTCTCTCAGTGTGAAGGGGAGTGCCCCTTGTGAAGAGCTTGCTCTTGAATTGTGTCCATGTACTTTTTCCTGTTAATCAATAAAGAATTGTTCTTTCCTTCGTTCTCTTTCCCTTTTCTTCCTCAGCTTTCCCCTATTTCTGTGATTCTTACTTTGCGATAATCTAGAGTCGTAACATACACTGCCACAAATTTTTGTCTTTTTTTCTTCAACAAAAATCATCAAAACTGCTTGTTAGAAGTATTCGAAATAGGTTGATAAGAAGCCCCATATCGATTTATTAGTTCGATATGATTGTTATAGTCGCTCTATATAATAGTCTCTGTTATGTTATTGAAACAAACAGATTTAAGCATTTGCATCTCTGTTCCACTGGTATCATCCTTTGCGACCTTTCTCGTTGCTTTTCTGCTGCCAAGTTCCCTAAAATTTGGAACTCTTTTTTTCCCATAACCTTCTCTTGTCACTTTCTTCAGCTGCATCTCAGACAAATGTATTGGTTGTCATCTGTCACTTCGATGACCCTCCATTGCAAGCAGTCATTGGCTGCCACACTAGAAAAAAATTCTGACAACTTTTTTGGCCGGTGGCCAATGGATTTGAAGCATCTCCTAAGTCGACAGAGCCCTTGCCATCCAACCAGCCATGCGCCCACACTTGACACATCTTCGTGTCGCGTGTCCAAGAAAATGACGGAAAGAGAAAGAAAGTGAAAAGGAACAGGATAGAGAGAGGAAGCGGAAGAAAGGCTCTGAACTTTCTGTATTTCATTCAATGCTCTGATAGTACATAGTTCTGCTATAATATAGAGTCAGAAGATGAGTGACTCAGCAATGAGTCAGTTACAACAACTATAGCCACAATGTAACTGAAACGTAACTGAGTAACAGTAAACTGAAGTTAGTTCAAACAATAAAACTAGCTTGGTAAATGGTAAAGGCAAGCTTATGCACTCTGGTCCTGTCGAATCGTCCCAGTTCCAATCTGGCCTCGTCGGACCTCGTCCCAGACTTGTTTTGATTGGGTCTCCTAAGTTTTCCTGTGGTTGAAGCTTCCAATTGTTGCTTAGCTTTATTTCTTGTAGTATATACTTGCTTGTTGTGATATTTTATCTGGTGGTCATTCTCGCGAAGCCTCTTCCTTAGTTATGCAATATTTTTCAACCAGCTCTTCGGTCTGATGGTCTTTCTAGCCACATTGTTGTGTTAGCCTAGCATCCCTGAGTTGACATTGCAACCATATTTTGTGGAGCCTAAATACATTATTTAGTTAATTTTTCATTTGTAACAAGCTTAAAGCTTTGGTAAGCTTTAACTCGAGAGGAGGGGGGGGGGGGGGGTTAGAAGTATTGGTAATATGCTGATAAGAAGTCTCACATTGTAAAATCAGTCTTTATGTAATTGTTATAGACCATAGTACTCTATATATAGAGCCTCCATTGTGCTATTAAAACACACGGATTTAAATATTTGCATCTCTTTTACTTGTTATTCAACACTGCTGGTCACAAATTCTCCAATGATTCTAAACAAAGAACTCCATAAAGAAACAGCTACATGACAGTGTAAAAATAGATGTGGAACTGGCTCTGAGCTTGCAGCGCACATAACACATATCTTGTGAAATTGGTTCGTTCGGCTTATGAACCTGCAACATTGTCATTGTTATTAATTCTTTTAGAGATAAATGCATGATCCCAAAATTTGAAGGGAAGGGAAGAATGAACCAGAAGTGTAAGTTCCATTTCAACTATTTGACGATGTTTTCTTTCCACCATTCCATTTTTATGATGAGTGTGAGGACAAATAATTCCATTAGAGACAAATTTCATAAAGAAACAGCTACATGACAGTGTAAAAATAGATGTGGAACTGGCTCTGAGCTTGCAGCACACATAACACATATATCTTGTAAAATAGCTTCGTTTGGCCTATGAACCTGAGCCATGTCATTGTTATTAATTCTTTTTGAGATAACTGCATGATCCCAAAATTTGAAGGGAAGGGAAGAATGAAGAAGTATAAGTCCCATTTCAACTATTTGATGATGTTTTCTTTCCACCATTCCATTTTGATGATGAGTGTGAGGACAAATAATTCCATTAGAGACAAATTTCCAAATAAAGGACTTGACCTTAAAGGGGAGCTTTAGTCTTCCAAATAGGTTTATCATGATGGAACAAAATTGTATTCGAAGAATGTGTTAGAAATTGTAAGAAGGATTTGTTGTGATATCCTAGAAGTGTCAAGACCTTTTATTAGACTAGAGGACAAAATAACATAGTAAATAAGACCCAAGAGAGACTCCAACTCAAAGGATTCCCTATCATTTTAAGTTATGAAAAAAGTGAAAATTCCAAGGAAGAGTGGAAATCTTGAGCAGTAAAATTTTTTTTAAATAGAATTGTGCAAGGAAGAAACACAAAATAACACACGGGAAAGACAAACTAAAAGAAAAATCTCCTAGCTAACAAGGGCGGACCTACATTTGTTTTTTTTTTTTTTTGGGAGAGGGGGGGGGGGGGGGGGGGGGGGGGGTTAGGGGTGGCCACCACCCCTAAAATCTGGAAAACAAAATTTATTATGTATAAAAATGACAGTTTGGGTAAGTTAAGATTTGAAGAAGCAGGCAAGAAGAGACATGGAGCTTCTGGAAGCGAGGCTTGAAGCTGGAAGCGGTATTCCAAAGCTATGTTTGGGCCTTTGAGGGATCCTAAAGCTATGAAGGAAAGTGCGCACTGTCTAGCAAAGCACGCCTTGTCTTCTGAGCACAGTCTTCAAATTTTCCAGAATCCTCCGTGCATTTCGCATGTCATTTCTGCAGACATTGAACAGGCCAAGTCCTGTTGAATTTTTACTGTTTAAGTTTTGTCTTTTGGGGTTCTAACCCCAATTATACACTAAAAAAAAGAAGCTAATGAAGCAAAAACTGTAGCTATTCAAGTTTGAACTTGCATATCTATTGTTTTGTCTATCCATTTAATTCTTATTTATGTAATTCTGTTCAAAGTTTTCTAAATCAGCCCTATAAACTACATTGATATGATTATTTTTGCATGTCTGGTATTTTTTGTTATACCAAGTCAATTTTTTGTCTTCCATTTAAATATGGAGCCCAATAACTTTATATTAACCCTAGTTTTCTTAATCTATGTTAAGATGATTGAAATATAGATAACTCAAATATATTAAATACTGGAATATTTTTTTTTATAGATACCTTGGAGGTATCTCTACACAACCTCCTCCAGCCATCTTAACCTCAGAGTACAGCCCTAAGGCTAACTCCTCATTGAAACAGAGGGTGCATTGGACCACTGTCACGGAGGCAAAAAATTATGATACATTTTACAAAAATTATAGCAAAATTTTTTTATGTCTAAAATAATTCTGTAATTTTATTAGGTTCTTCCTAGCAGACATTTTTGCATCCTTAATAGTAACATAAATTTTCATCTCCCGTCATATAATTTTCTGGGTCCGCCACTGCTAGCTAATGACACTTTCTTATCAATTGTGAACAACCATAAGATTTGTGTCATTAAACAAACCATATGTGCGTTGAATTTTCAAAATTGGTGGCAGCTCTTATGGTCTACATTTCAATATTGGAACGGCAAGCTAAGTTTGGGGATGCTTTGGAAATTCTCTCTGGGAAATTGGGATCACTATTGATGATTGAAGTTGATAAGCTACGAATGCAGGTAATCTCAATAGCTTTCTTCCTGTTTATGTACTTCTGTTTAACTTTTGAATTTTGTATGTTATTTGTTTTGAATATTAATTGTCATCCAATTAAATTAAGGGGATATTAGTATCTGGGAGGATGTTGTTAGTGGTTGATGTGATAGAAGTCATAATTAAATAATAAGTAGATTCTAGGGGTAGTTGAAAATGCTCCATTCCATACAGTAGCATACGGATATAATATTTGAAAATTCATGGAAACTCTTTTTCAAACAAAAGGGCATTATTTTGATCTATGGTGCACTACTGAAAATGCATAATTTTTTTCAAGGAGTGTAAAAGATATACCTCACACGTCAGGAGACAAAGCTTTGTTAAATATACATGTTGAAATATATAAAACCATTAATTTAGCCTCACCCAACAGCTTAAGCTTTTGGGTTGATTTGGTTCTTTACATGGTATCAGAGTCTCGGTGTACCGGGTTCGATCCTCACCGCCCCCCACTTTCTTTCTAGTGAAATTTCTTTCTTCGCACAGGTAGGTGGGCCTGTGTATCGTCCACCCTTCAAGCCCAGTGGGCTCTCATGTGAGGGAGCGTGTTGAGATATATAAAACCATTAATTTAGCCTCACCCAACAACTTAAGCTTTTGGGTTGATTTGGTTCTTTACAATACAAAACTACAGAATGTCAGCAGAATTAATCCTGTAAAGCTTGCTGTCCAATTGACCTTGAAGCTTTGAACTTCCAAAGTTGTTTTTTATTTGGAGAAGTGGACAGAAAATAAGAGTATGTTTACAGGAAAGCACACCAGAAGAATCAGTATTTCAGACCCTTTAGTCAATAATAAAAGATAAATTAGGTGAACCATGCAAAAGAAAGCTTTAACTTGCTTTGAGATAGGATTGTTTTCATGGCTTCCTGTGGTTCTCTTGACATGGTTTCTTTCAAGGTTTTTCCTTGTTTGACATGCTGAGGGAGTGAAAAGCTTTTTTTTTTTTTGCTTTAACTTTGTTTTTTGTGTGTTATTCTATCTTCATCCTCACCCTTATATCTTTTCTTTCCTTCTAATATTATTATTCTTTTATAAAAAAATAAAAAGGATATCTGTAGCATTATTCTCATTTTTCTTGTTTGACTTTTGACATCAACCTGTATACTTTGACTTTAAGTTGACAGGGGAGACTTCTGGCTAAGGCAGGTGACTACACTGCTGCTGCTGATATCTTTCACAAAATTCTAGAGTCGTGGTATGCTTTGGATGCTGACTCCTTGTTTAGACATAACATTTCAAAATATTGGATTGTTAACTGGCGGTAGTTGTTTATGCATAAAGTGGTTTTGATAGTATTGTGTATCTCACTAACATGATGTGTGAAAAGCATGCTCAAAATTGAAATTTGGAATAAGCCTTTATGATTATAGCTATTCTAGCTTGTTTTTCATTTTGTAATTCTATTTTTCTTTTATATATGTTAATGTGCTATACTTTTATCTTCACTTGAGTCTTTTCTTGCAAACTTATGGACTGGTAGGTGAATATAGGCCGGGGAATTGCTTAATGCTTATAGTACCGGGGTTTACAAGCCCCAAAGCTTGACTGCTGGCAATGACCTGACCTCTTATTGTGTCATTGTTTTTGAAGCACACATGATTTGTATTTTTTTATTTTATTCATGTTATCTTAATTTTCCACTGTAGCCTAATGAAATTGAAAACTGTGGTGTGCATATCCGTGTTAACTGTTCTTCTACTCTCTGAATTTCAGCTTTTTGTTTGCTTTCAAACTGTCCTGTATTCTTCGGGTGTGCCTTTATTAAGCAATATGTATTAAGGTGCCCTTGAGATCTAGCTTATTACCTAGGTTGCCGCTTAAATATAGCTTCTCCACTCACGTTGATGCAAGATTTCTAATTTCTGTTTTTCCCAATTGAGTTATGACGTGATTTCTAAGTTTTTTTTTTCCCCTGAACTGAACTTAGTTTCTTTGCTCACGTCTTTATTACACTAATACTTCTGGTGCCCACATTTTTCTACTGTTGATGTAGTTTCTTTGTTTGGCAGTCCTGATGACTGGGAGTGTTTCCTTCATTACCTAGGCTGTTTGCTGGAAGATGGCAACATTTGGTGTGATGAGGTTGTTAATGATCCCGTTCATCCCCCAAAAATTGTCAATTGCAAGGTCTCACACTTGACAGATGAACAGGTGAATGTTTAGCATTTGATGGTTTTTATTTATGACATTAATTTATGCTTAGAGGGACCAATTACTATTTGCATAGAATTTGATTCATGTATAAACAACAATTTGAGTGCAGTTTGACAGTCGAATATCAATTGCATCAGCTTTTATACAGAAGTTACAAGCGGATGCTGTTAATAACTTGATAAGGTGTCCATACCTAGCAACTATGGAAATTGAAAAAAGAAAGCATTTCTGTGGGAAGGGGAATGAAGACGACTTAATGGAAGGCATTGTTCAATATTATTGGAGGTACCTTACAACACAAAACTTATCATTCTTGTAATTTCTTATTTTTCTTCTTAATTATCATGCACAGTGTTTTGTGAGGTGGCTGGAATGAAATTTGATATTTGAAATGCTATTGGGGAAAAATCGTGATGGAATTTAATATCTAGGTTTATGTGCTCTCCGATTTAGTGATTGTTGTCCTGCAGTATATGGGTCCTTGTTCTGTAGTTATTTGACCATATTAGTTTTATGCTGTGTGCTGAGATGTTTGAATTCTGTTCGAATTTTCTAGTAGGCAGTAACATTTGATTTGCAACTCTGGGTTGGCTAGCTGTATAATTTATTTATTTATTAGATAAATGTTCCTTTCATATTTAAATTGGGCATGTAAAGTGTTACTTTGCAATTCTTTGATTAAGAACTCTGTTTGATGTTAATAGGTTTGGTCACTTGGCCTGCTTTACTTCTGATGTTGAGGTGTTTGTTGAAGTTTTCACTCCTGTTAAGAAGGCTGAGCTCTTGGAGAAATTGATGAAAAACAGCGATGCTTTATCAACTACACCAACCAGGACACTTGGGCTGTCTATAAGCCTTTTCAAAATTAAACAAATATTGCTAGGGGACATGCTCAAGTCTTCTGAAAATGGTGGGTCTCATACTGTTGCATATTAATGTGCATTAATACCTTATTTACTTATTCTCCTAGAAATTTCTATGTTCTGCCTTATTAGAGATGTAAACCGTGCCTGAACCCTCCCCTTATAGATTAATCTTTTACGAAAGTTAGTCTTTGACATATTAGTATTAGATTTTCTATAACCAAATGTCTGTAATTCGATCCTTTCTGCCACCATTTCTTTATTTAAATTTGAATAGTTTAATTATGATTTCAGTACAAGTTTGAGTGGGCATGTGCTTGATCCACAAGCCCATAGGGTTTTATTTTTTTTCACGAATGCTTATAGGAGAAATTGGTGTTTGATGCACCTGACTCTTAACAGATCTAATGTATTTTTTAAGATATAAAACAAAGAATAGATATTATTAGTTCAATACACCTCCAAGCTTGTTTATATTTTGGATTAAATCGTAATATTTCATATTCATTGATTTCACCCCTTTGATGGTTGGTGCAATATTTTTTATTTCTATTACCTTTATGGCCCTTTCTTTAAATGTATTTCCAATTATTTTATTTGGATCTGTTTTTTCTTTTCTTTTTTTCTTTTCCTTTGGAGAGGGGAGAAACAAACTTCTCCAGATTTGAGCTTGTTGCTTGTAGGTCATAGCCTTAGCTCTCATATTGAGTGTTAATGTAATTAATGCAAGCTCATCTGAACTTGTCCCAGATCTTAAGGTCTCTTGTGTTCAAATGTTTGAAATGTTTTGCAAAAACCTCCCACTTTCAAAAGACTTGGATCCACAGGAGGGCATGCATGGTGAAGAGTTGCTTTCAATGACATGTAATCTTTTGATTCAGGTATGCGGTATTATATTTTATGTATTTCTTTTGTATTGCACATTGATAAAAAATCTTTTGAAGATATTCTACTCTTCTTGTTATAGTTTTAATTTTTTTTTCCTCTTGACATATGAATCTACAAGTTTTTGATAGGTATTCTTGTTATGTTGGAGTGGATTATCTACATGTCTTTATTTTTAAGGGGCACGAGGAAACATGCAAAGAGATATAAATGTTACTTGAGAGGGTTTTCAGTGGAGAATATGCAGAGAGATTGGCATGATTTGCTTATTTGATGTGTCAAATTCATTTTTTGACTGTTTATTTGACAATTTTGGCTATGGCTTCTGTATTTTTTGTTTTCTTAAAAAAATGTGGATATCCTATACTTTGCTCATGTGCTTCACTATTTTTCATCTCTATTTCTCTAATAATATTTCTTATAGGAAAAAAACAATTATGGCTTTTTTGTGCTCAACTTTTTTGTTTTTGTTTTGTTAACATAGAACTTGGTTTTAAGAGTTCACCATATTGTATTGTATTTCTGTTAATGCTGCTCCTGGAAAATGTATTGATGGAATGCTTCTTATTTTGTGCATTTTATTTGAAATTAAAATAAAAACTGGTTAGTCTTTTATTCCCCCCAGTAGGTTGTTTTATCTAAAGAAAAGAATGTAACTCAGTGGATAGGACAATTTAACAATTGGAATTTGTTTTTTGTCAATTAATTTTAAAACCAAACTAGAGTTTCTGTTACCTCAAAATTTTAGTTCTTCATTCTGCTTTGGAATTGTGTATGCTTCCCACATGCTACGTGTGTAACATAGCTAAACATTGTTGTGTTTTGGAAATGTGCACAGTTAATCTTTAACATTCCAAAATTTGTACAATGTTCTGACCACTGTTAATGTCTTGATATTATTGGTGTAGTTATTCTGGCGTACTAAGAATGTTGGCTATTTGGTAGAGGCAATTATGGTCTTGGAGTTCGGCTTGGCAATACGAAGGTCAGGGATAATTAGTTTCCATTATATTTTGAAATCTCCCATGAAAATGCGTTGAGTTGAGGAAGCATTTCATTGGAGTTGTTTAGGTTGCTATCATTTGATACATCTGGTCAATGCTTTTTGTGTCTTAAACGTTGTATATATTTGTATTATATAAGCTATTTGTGAACAATCACGTTTAATAATCTTCTTAATGACAATAGCAACTTTATCATAAGATAAAAGTGTGAAAAAACTTGTAATAGTTCAACTGTATAATTCTCAATTGAAATTACATTTCTAGAATTTGTCTCAAATTTCTGTTACTGTTTTGAGTATATTTTTTAATTAGATAAGTTTATGTGAATTACGATTTTCTCATTTATATTATTTCTTGTATTAGAAGGATTTGGGATTATCACTGTACAGGTTAGCTGTAGTATATGGTGGCTTTTGACTAGTGAACCAATGGATGTTGCAATTTCCAATTGTACAGTGGATTGTTGACTTTCTTTGCCTTATTTATGTTACCGTAGAGAAGGGTAAACAATGTGAAGCTTTTGAATGTCTTTTTTTATTACTCCATGTCTTCCTTCTCATTTTTGTACTTCATGCTACTATTGCCACCAGTATAGTATATGAACTAAAAATATATTTTATTAATCTTAAATGAATTTTTACATTTTAGTTATTTGGTGGAGACAATGTTATTGAAGTCTCTATTCTTGACGTGTAGTGCATATGTCTTTTTCAAGGATGATGAGGGTGTGTTCTTGTTTTGATTACTTTTGATGTTGATTCCATATTGTATCTATACTACTGGCTTTGGAGCATTAGATGGTTTGCTTCAAACCAGCTAACTTTGATCTAAATACTTATGGTGCTATTGTGAAACGATTTTTTTCTTCTTTGAAATAACTTACGCATCCATCTTGTCTTTAGCAGATATGTGTCGCAGTACAAAATCGCGCTGTTGCACTTGTATTGCCACTGTGGTGCTCTTTCAGTAGCACATGAATGGTAAGGCAGTTCTGTTCATTTTTTGACATCATTTCATAAAACGTCATCATAATGTCTATCACATGCTGATTATTGGTTTATGTCTTTTTGCTCGTTACACAATGCGATTAAAGGCTTTTTTTTTCCTTCAGGTATAAATCATTGGATGTCAAGAATATCTTGATGGAAAGTGTTTTGCACCACATTTTGCCTCAGATGTTGGTATCTCCACTTTGGACTGAATCAAACAGTCTTCTAAAGGATTATTTGAAGTTTATGGATGACCACTTCAGAGAATCTGCAGATTTAACATTTCTTGCATATCGCCATAGAAATTACTCAAAGGTATGTATACTTGAGCTTTTATTGTTTCTAAAGACTTTCCCTTTGAAGTAAATTATATGAGCATTAGGATGCATAAATTTGAAATTGCATGCCTATTTTGTTTTAAAGATTTCTTCATTCATAAGGAGATTATAAATCCCCCTCCACCCTCCTCCCCAAAAGAAATAAAATAAAACATAACCCTGATAATTGAGATTGAATCCTACATAATATTTGGTTTGGTTTGAAGTTTTTGCATAATGAATGCAAGGCTGGACACAGTTTTGTGAGAATTATAAGGTTGGACACGTTCCTTTTGTCAAAAACATAAATAGAATTTTTTGTTTGATTAATTGATCACTGCTAAAACATAGTTTTGTGAGGTTTGACCATGTTTAGTTGTATTCTTGGTGGTGTGCCATAGATACTCAAAACATGAGCAGTGCATTTATTCATTTGGTGCATAGTTTGGTTGAGATGGTACTGCACATGTAACATAAAAGAAATAGACTTGCAAGAAAATCATTTATTCATGTCAGTTCTAATGTAATGTTGAAAGCACCTTGTCCATGTTTTAATTGATTCAACTGAGGCATAAATTTACGTTGTATTCCAGGTAATTGAATTTGTCCAGTTTAAAGATAGATTACAGCACTCAAGTCAGTATCTAATGGCGCGAGTTGAAACACCCATGCTACAGTTAAAGCAAAATGCTGATAACATTGAAGAAGAAGAGGTGATTCATGTCTTGAAACTTCAGTATAGGTAAATCACCTCTCTTAATAAATGTGATGGTAGGTTTAACGAGTGTTTATTTTCTTAGGGCATCCTTCAAAGCTTGAAATGTGGGATTCACTTCCATGAGCTATCTAATGAGATTGGGTCAAAGTCTTTGACCTTCAATGAAGACTTGCAGACACGGCCCTGGTGGACGCCAACTTCAGAGAAAAATTACCTTTTAGGTTACTTTTTCAATCATATTTCTAGTTTAGAAGAATACATCTTTGTATTCTTGAAACTATTTAGGATCAATATATTAAAATAATACAAATCCTCAAAGTATATGTAAGTTAAAATAAATATCAAATTATCTTTTTACCGTAAAGCAAAGTAAGTGAAAGAATGTGGTACTGCCGTGTATGTTGCTTACAAATCATTTAACTTAGTAGCTTAAGTTGTTTCTTAATATTGTTCCCTCAAGTAATAGTCCTTTGGGCTTGTAGGGAGGTCAAAGCCCAGGGCCACCACTATCGGGTCATGTAATTGGTTCTCATTATGCAAAGAGGGTAAAAATTATAAAATGTTGGATTGCTTGTGCAGCAAAGCTCTTGTGCCTCTTGCCAGATCAAGTATTGAGATAAACATACAGATTACAGACAAAGCGCATGCACTAAGCAATGCAGCAATCATTGCCCATATCTTTACATAACCATATTTCTAACGCACAATCCAGGAGTTTTTAGTAAGTGTCTGATGAACTGTTTCAATTATAGTAATTGGACAGACTGGATGGGAATGGGATTGGTTTGTTTTGATGGATGGATGGGTTTGTAAATATCCAAATAAATTTGAAAATTATTGGACATGGCGTCTGTTAGAAATGTTAGAAATAATATTAGTCTATTATTATTAGATTAGTCTAGATTGTGGGCTTAGCCCATTAGGTCTTTTAGTCTCTATAAATAGAGAGCCTTCTTGTACAGTTATACACACTTGAATATACAATAATATTCAGATTCAACTTGGTATCAGAGCTCTCGATCCGAGGGCTCTGCTTCCACATATATATCTTTTCCTTTCTTATTTACTGCCGTGCATCATACCGGCAAATCTTGTTACGGCCGTGCATCATACCGGAAACCTTTTTCAACCCTCCGAACATTGTTAGACCCTTTTTCGATCTCAGATCGTCATCTTCCTTCATTATTTGACCGGAAAACACTGTTCACATCGCCAGAAACACTGTTCCGTCACTGTTCATCATTGTTCCGACCACCTTTCCGGCGAGAAACCACGCGATCAGGCTCCCCTCACGCCGGCGACCGTTTCTGTCCAAGACCCGTCCAAAACGGCCGCGGCAGGCCCCACCACAGCTGTCTGCGCGTGGGCCTCACGAGCCACCTCTCTCGGCGCGTGTACACTGTTCCGGCCACCTTTTTCGGCCGAACCAAGGCAGACAGGCTCGCCTCTGCCTCCTCCTTCCAAATCCGGTGTCCGTTCGTTGTGGGTCTCTTCCGTTCAGGGGTTTCCAGTGCAAAAGTTGCTACTTTGTTGCCTTTTCGCGTGACTTTTACCGTTTTTTTTTTTTTTGGTCGTTTGATTGCTGTTTCTGATGGAAGGAACCGGTAAACATCCTTCCGGCATCATTTCAAGTGCTATTCCATCTATCACAACTCTGAAATTGACCGGATCTGCCACTTACAAGACCTGGTCTACCTCCGTTAAGATCTGGTTTACCGGTCAGGGCCATGACAAACATCTCACCACTAAGACGATTGATATTTCCAAAGATCATACGTCTGACTGGGAGAAAGTTGATGCTCAGCTCCTCAGTATTCTTTGGCAATCCATTGATTCATCTCTTATCAATATTTTCATTCCCTTTGAGACCTGCTATGATGTGTGGATGGAAGCCAAAAACCTCTACACCAATGATATTCAGCAACTTTATTCCATTGTCTCCCAGATGATGGATTTGCGCAAATCACCCGAAGCTCGTATGGAAGTTTATGTTGGTAAGATTCGTTCTTTGATGCAGGAATTTTTTGCTATGTTACCTCATGCTGCGGATGCTACAGTGTACAGGACGCAAGTGGAGCGTCTCTTTACGGTTGTGACTCTCTCTGGTCTCCCTGACGGATTAGAAAGTGTTCGTGAGAACATTCTAACCAGTACTGAGATTCCCAGCATATCCCAGACCTTTCAGCGCCTTCTGAATCTTCAAGATAAGGTGGCCCCCGCACACGTGCCAGCTACTGACCCTACTGCCCTCTTGTCTGATTCTGCTGCTTTAATCTCTCGTGGTAATTGGAACAATGGTGGACGCGGTAGTGGTCGTGGCCGCGGACAAGGCGGTCGCGGGCCCATGACATCATATGGCCCAGGCGGGCACGAACAGACGACGTCATATGGACAGGGTGGTCGAGGACCAAGGCCTCGGTGTAATTATTGCCAAAATCTGGGCCACATTGAAGAATGTTGCTACAGAAAGTACCCTCACTTGAAGCCACCACATATGAACTTTGCTCAAACAAATGTTGTGCCGCCCTCTACCGGATCAGTGACTATTTCCGCTGCAGACTATGAGGCCCTTCTCCAGAAGAGTTCTTCTCAGCCACCTGCTCCAGATACTGGTAATCATGTTGCTTGTTTTTCTCAATCGTCTCTTGGACCCTGGATAATAGACTCAGGTGCTACTGATCATCTTTGTGGTAATAAGGATCTCTTTACTTCCCTTACCTTTTCTAATAATCTTCCCTCTGTTACTCTTGCTGATGGCACCAAGGCTCCTGCTCGTGGCATTGGGCAAGCCAAACCAACTCCCTTCTTGACTTTAACCTCTGTTTATTACATCCCTGGCATTCCTTTAAATTTAATTTCTATTAGTCAATTGACCCATTCTCTTTCTTGCTCTATCACCTTTTCTAAACAGTTTTTTTCTATGCAGGATCCAAGTACGGGGAAGACGATTGGAGCGGGCAGTGAGTCACGAGGTCTCTACTATCTGCATGCACCCTCTGCTCCAGTTGCATGCTCTCTCACAGAGTCTCCTGAGCTTCTCCATAGCCGTTTGGGTCATCCAAGTCTCTCGAAGCTTCAGCATATGGTTCCTTTTTTGTCAGGTCTTAAGTCTTTGAATTGTCAGTTTTGTCAGCAGGGAAAGCATACTCGCTCTTCCTTTGCTAGTAGAGTCAATAAGAGAGTTGTTGCTCCCTTTTCTATTGTTCATTCTGATATTTGGGGTCCGAGTCGGACTATGTCAGTTTTGGGTTTTCAGTATTTTGTAACCTTTATTGATGATTTCTCCCGTTGCACTTGGGTTTATTTAATGAAAAATCGTTCTGAGTTATTTTCAATTTATCAAAAGTTTTGTGCAGAAATAAAAACTCAATTTGGTGCTTCTATTCAAATCTTGCGCAGTAATAATGCAAAAGAGTATGTGTCTCTTGAATTTTCTAAATTTCTGGATACACATGGGACGATACACCAGACTACCTGTCCCCACACTCCACAACAAAATGGAGTCGCTGAACGTAAAAATAGACATCTAGTTGAAACTGCACGTAACCTTCTCATTCATATGAACGTCTCATTCCGTTTTTGGGCAGATGCTATTATCACCTCGTGTTTCCTTATCAACCGCATGCCCTCTTCTGTGCTAAATAATGATGTTTCCCACAGTATTTTGTTTTCCGGAGCACCTTCTTATCCTCTGCCTTTATATATTTTTGGCTGTACTTGTTTTGTTCATGATCTTACTCCAGGTAAAGACAAGTTGACATCCAAGGCCTTCAAATGTATTTTCCTTGGGTATACACGTTTTCAAAAAGGGTATCGTTGCTATTCTCCTGATCTCAAGCTTTATATCGTTTCTGCTGATGTCACTTTCCTTGATCAACAGCCTTTTCACTCTACTCCGTCTCCAGTGTCACAGGTTGATCAGGTCCTTCCTGTTCCTTTTCTTGACTTGTCTTTACCAGCTGCAGGTGACCCTATTCCAGAGGAGCAACCCATTACCTCCATACCTGCAGATCGTCCTCTCCTCACATACCAGCGTCGTCAGCCTGCACCTCCTCCGACTTTGCCTCTTGATGACTCATCGCCCTTTCCCGTTGGCTCTTCTCCTCTGGATCCTCCATCAGAGACTCCTCCCATTGCCCTTCAGAAAGGTATTCGATCCACTCGAAATCCTCATCCCCTTTATTCTTTCTTGAGTTATGACAGACTTTCTTCACAACATTTTACTTTTATTTCTAGTCTCTCTTATGTTTCCATCCCTAAAACCACAGGTGAAACACTATCTCATCCAGGGTGGCGCCAGGCGATGCTTGATGAAATGCAGGCACTTCACTCCAATGGCACTTGGGGTCTTGTTCGTGCTCCTCCCGGGAAATCTGTTGTTGGTTGTCGATGGGTGTTCACAGTTAAAGTTGGTCCTGATTGCACTGTTGATCGCCTTAAAGCTCGCTTAGTGGCCAAGGGATACACACAGATCTTTGGTCTTGATTATGGGGATACCTTTTCTCCTGTTGCTAAGATGGCTTCTGTTCGTCTGTTTCTTGCCCTTGCCGCCATTCATCACTGGCCCCATCTCCAACTTGATATTAAGAATACTTTTCTACATGGTGACTTGCAGGAGGAAGTTTATATGGAGCAACCACCAAGTTTTGTTGCTCAGGGGGAGAGTTCTGGAATGGTATGTAAACTTCGGAAATCTTTATATGGCCTGAAGCAATTTCCTCGGGCCTGGTTTAGCCGCTTTAGTTCAGTTGTTGAATCCTTTGGCTTAATCAGAAGCAAAGCCGATCATTCTGTCTTCTACCGGCATAGCTCTTCTGGCCAGTGCATTTATCTCCTGGTCTATGTTGATGACATTATCATTACATGCAGCGATCAGACCGGGATTGATCAGTTGAAAGAGCATTTATTCAATCAATTTCAGACCAAAGATCTTGGCAGACTTCGATATTTCTTGGGGATCGAAGTTGCACAGTCTAGGCGGGGCATTTCCATCTGTCAGAGGAAGTATGCACTGGATATCCTAAATGAGACTAGCATGTTAGGCTGTAAACCCATTGATACACCTATGGACCCCAATGTTAAGCTATTACCAGGGCAGGGGGAGCCACTGCCAGATCCTAGTCGCTACCGCCGACTAGTTGGAAAATTGAATTATCTTACTGTGACAAGGCCAGATATCTCCTTCACAGTGAGTGTTGCAAGTCAATTTCTTGATTCTCCCTGTGACTCCCATTGGGATGCAGTTATTAGAATTCTCCGATATATTAAAAAGGCGCCAGGAAGAGGTTTATTATACACAAATAAAGGGAGTTCAGAGATCTCTAGTTATTCAAATGCTGACTGGGCAGGTTCTCCTTCAGATAGACGATCCACCTCAGGGTATTGTGTTCTCTTTGGAGGAAATTTGATCTCTTGGAATTGTAAGAAGCAAACTGTGGTCGTCAGATCCAGTGCAGAGGCAGAATATCGGGCAATGGCAAATGCAACCTGTTAGCTCATCTGGCTGAGACAATTGCTTAAGGAACTCCATCTCTGTGAACAACGGCCTATGAAGCTCATTTGTGACAATCAAGCCGCTTTGCATATATCCTCTAACCCAGTCTTTCATGAGAGGACCAAGCATATAGAAATTGACTGTCATTTTGTTAGAGAAAAGATCCAGTCAAGGGAGATCGAGACAGCATTTGTCAATTCCAATGATCAACTTGCGGATTCACTAAAGCTCTTAGAGGTCCCCGAATAGATCATATTTGTAACAAGCTGGGAGCTTTTGATATATACGCACCAGCTTGAGGGGGAGTGTTAGAAATGTTAGAAATAATATTAGTCTATTATTATTAGATTAGTCTAGATTGTGGGCTTAGCCCATTAGGTCTTTTAGTCTCTATAAATAGAGAGCCTTCTTATACAGTTATACACACTTGAATATACAATAATATTCAGATTCAACTGCATCCTTATAACTAGTGGGAATCAGAAATGTATTTTTTGTATATAACTGACATCGATGGATGGATGGATGGGTTTGTAAAATTCCAAATAAGTTTGGAAATAATTGGACGTGGCATCCTTGTAACTAGAGGGAATCAGAAATGTATTTTTTGTATAACTGACAGTGTAGTTCTAAGTCTCGTGGTTCAGACTTATGATTATAATCTGGTATTATATTCCGATGTATCTTGTCTTTGTTGATTACTATATGAACTTAGTGGATAGTTGACTTCTGTTTCAGGGCCATTTGAAGGGATTTCTTATTGCCCTAGAGGTATTTTGGTAGGTCAATTCTGTCCTCGATGATTTGTGGCTGGTGAATTTATGCTTGCTTCAGTAAAAACTAAACTATTTTTTTTTTTATAAAATTAAAATTCCTCCCTTTATTCCTTGGTTTGTCAATGGACGTAGACCAAAGAGAGGGAGACAGGTTTAAAGAGAGACATCGAGAAGAAATCCCTACTTCCACGGATGATCTATCTTTCTATTCGAAGTGCTTCAGCATCCATCAAGGAGCATGTTGAGGTCAATGGTTCTGTTACGCCAGACATCTCTTCAGAGCTGAAATCTTTACTGGAGCGCTATGCACAATTTTTGGGCTTTTCTCTCAGTGAAGCAATAGAAGTGGTCATGGGTTTCTCTAATGGTGAAAGATCTTCTGTGGTATGATTGCATAAATTTTTATGCTACTATTGTTAACATATATTGAGATGAATGAAACTGAGACTAAGTAGGATTGCTTTAATGTTTTAGCATGTTATACTCTCACAAACACTTTAGTTGATTATTTTTCCAACGGGGTGCTAAATTGTCTGTGCCATGATCTAGATATTTCTGAACTTAGAAATGAAATGGGAAGACATTCTTTGTACTAATATGCTCAATGATACTTGCACCCTAAATGTGGTGGTGTAGAAAATTGTGATGTACTAGAAATGAATTTACCGAAAAAATTGTAGGGTTTTTTTATATAAATGGAGGAGAAAAGATGGAGAGAATAATAAAGACTGAATATTATGTTATGGAGACGCTTGTTATATGGTTGCTGTTAGATATGATATAAATATGTATATAATATAAACCGGGTTACAAAACTTTCACCATGGTTAGAGATACAATATAAAATGATGTTAGAGATGTAATATAAACATGGAAAACGGTGCTACTTTGGAAAGTTCAACCACATATCGCATTCCTCACGATCATATCTATATTAATCCTGCCATCAAATCCCTTCATCCTCTATGCAGGTATGTTATGTGACTTTTCATTTCACATTATGTAGTTGATCCGATGACTGTAGAGCTTTGATTTCATCTGGTGATATGACTTGAGCATTGGGGTCTCTGCAGACTATTCATCAGCGGAGCACACAACGGAGAACCACCATTGAGGAAGACTCGAGATAAATATTATGATAACTTGTTCAGGATGGTTCTGTCTCAAAATCCAGAGAATTTTGGATCCAACGCTCATTCCACCAGATGAAGTGAAAGCGCTACAGGCAATATTAGATAAACTAAGAATGTGAATTGAAAACTGACAAAACATTCCTGTATAGAGGATGAAGATTTTAATGGAAAGATTAATATAGATGTCCGTGAGGAATGTCACATGCGATTGCACTTTAAAGTAGCATTGTTTAACCTGTTTATATTAAATTCCTAACAGTTACAACTAGGAAATTGATCCTTATATTCAAAAAATTGTTGCAGGTTTCTGACTCCAACTTGATAGACTGGTTGAATTTCATTGTATTCTTAAATGCATGGAGCCTGAGTTCCCATGAACTTGTGCAGCCAGATAGAAATGGATGTAAGCCTCATATTTGGAATATCTTAGATACTTTGCTGGAGAAGTATGTTTTAGAGAAGGTTAGGTCCATAGAGCCCCAGCTCTGCTCTCCTCGGTGCGACATTCAACTTTTGATGCAGTTAGTTACAGAACCTTTGGCGTGGCATGGACTAGTAATCCAGTCTTGTCTCAGATCCTGTCTTCCATCTAGTAAAAAGAAAAAGAAAAGTGGATCAGGTTATCAGTCTAGCTCAAATCTGGCTCATGCAATCACAGATTCTGTCCAGCGTTTATCTCATGTGTTAGAGGATGTTATGAAATGGATAAGTGGATGGAGCAGAAGACCTGAAGATGAGAATTTGGAAGACATTCTTTTTCTTCTCCGGAAAGATGAGCATAATGATGGGCCCGGGCAGGTCTTTCACATTATCGAAACATTTATTTCCTCTATGAATGATGTGGAACTTGGTGATCGTATATCCCAATCACTTAAGTCTTGGAGTCCTACTGATGTCGCCAGGAAAATAATGACTGGAAAGCACAAAGTATTGATGGAATTCTCTGCCATCTGTGAGTCAAAATTGAAGTTATTCAAGTCTATGAAACAGCAGGTATCTCAACTGTGATGAAACATCATTCACTGGTGCTGAATAGTTATCATAGCTTGTCAAGCGGCTATTTAATTGCAGTCCAAGGCTAGGGATTGAGAAAATGTGCATCAGTTCTGCTGTGATTGTCGCTAGCTTCATCTACAGAATACCAAGTCAAAAACTTCTGGGGAACAGTTATCATGGTTTGCGGCTAACTTGTTTCTGGCTCAAGTTTTTATTGGTCATTTCCTGTAAAAATTTTCTGAAGAGTGTACTTTAAACATTTTTCTTCACTTTTTGAGCGGTTGCCGGATCTTTTCAGAATTGTAGCTGTTTGTCCGAGCAATTTTTTTGGCAATGTACTATTGGTTTATTGTTTTGAATGAAAAAATATTTTTTTGAAATATCCAGATTAGATCTTTCGTTATCATTCCAAAACCCTAATTTTGGTTATTTTTGGTTAGCCTATTTATATTAAGGGAAAACCAAAAGTCATGTTACAGGAAACTTTGTTTTCTTTCTGCACTCACATCATTCTCCGTGCAATGTTTTTTTATTTAATTTTTTTTCTATTATTTAGCGGGCCCCACAAAAACAGGTCTCAGTGACATGATATACCATATTCCTGTTACAGGATATTAGCAAAACCCTTATATTAATACTTAAAATATGGTTTGTTATTTGCACAAATTTTATCCTCACAAACCCTTGCAGGCTCTCGGGGTGATTTATTTGAACTATTAGATAAAGTTGCAGTGGGACCAAGCTGTGTCCAATGTCTTGCATGAGAGTTTGTGAAGAATTTATTTTTGCAATTATCATTTACCGTCCTTAATTGTATTTAATTAAGTTCATGCAATGTGTTGCTAATTAATGCGGTCCAAAAAGAGTTTTTGTGCTTTAGAAGCTATCTCCAGCAATTTTGTTAAAATCGAGATCTTATGTAAAATTGAAAGGGGATTAAAAAATTGTAAAACGTAAAATCGTAATGTAAAAAAATCAAAAAATTGTAAAACGTAAAATCGTAATGTAAAAAAATCATAAAAGCGTAAAAGCGTTTGGAATATTGGTCAAATCGTTTTGATGAAAAAAAATCGTAAAAATGTAAAATCGTAGTAATAAATTGAGATTTTAACAACATTGATGTGCAGGGGCAATTCTCAAATTATGCTTGAGGAAACATACTTATTGAGATGTGTGCAACTTCCAAGAACACAATGAATACCGGAAACACAGCCTCCATAGTGCTAACTTTTATTTTTATTTTTTTTATTTTCAAATGTTTGGAATATGAAATGTGTGGAAATAATAATATTCATACGATGGTTTTAACAGAGTGAATGGCAAGAAGCTTTACCTGTTGACTGTTGTGCTTTTGAATTTCAGATGCTGGCAAAGCCATTGTTGTTTGACATATTGGCACCTATTTACTTAGGAATGTGCCATGCAACCAATAAGGTTACTCTAAAGTCAGTTGTTTAGTTGTCTAACTACCTGATGGATTAGAAACAAGGTTGATAAATAATCAATACAATATATAAGTACCATTTATAAAGGAAGTATGGACAGAAAACCAACCAAACCTGTTTCATTTGAAATATGTTAAACACCTTATGTGAAAGAGATACGCTACTCAAATCAATTGGTGCCTATATTGATCATTAGACAAGGAATTATTTCGTCGAAGAAAAAGTGGCAAACTGGCAATGCATAATTTAGCTTTAATAGTCAACTAATCAAAGTTAACGTCTCGAAGAATAAATCTTTGGTGCTACTGTTTACCAAAGATTCAATACATCCCACCAATAGAAATATTACATGTTAGCTAATTTTTTTTTTTTTCTGTCAATTTTTTTTTCTCTCCTATGATGTGTAATGCTCCTATTTGTGGAATGCACTGAATTTTGGTGCAACAGTAACACCAAAGATTTATTCCTAGTATAAACTACTATTAGTTCTATTTCTGCGTTGAAGTTGTCATTTGTCAACATGGTAGACTTAAAAACGCAGAAATAGCACTTCTACCGAACCAAAACAAAATTCAACCTGACCTTAACTGCCTAATTAATTTTTATTTTATTTTTCCCTTTTGGGTCTTTCTTTTCCCTAGCTTGAAATATTCCTAGGTTTCAGTATCAGTACATAAATAAACAAAGGAGATTGAGATTGTCAAGGTTCACATGATGATGATATACTGGCGTTTGGATTGTATCAGACGACCGATTTAACCCTCTCTTTCATCGTGCATGAAAAAGAACCATCTCAACCTCTGCTTATTCGAAATTACTGTTATATTCTCCTTGAAAATTGCAATGCTTCAAAGGACAGGCTCAACTTCTGTTTCGTTGGAGGTGTACATGCAAGTAAATCAAGCTCCCCCACCCTGCCAAGAAGGGCGTAAAAAATCTTGAATCAAGCTAATTAGTGATTTCATAATATGAAACCAGAGCTTAATTTGGTAGTTAGTTTAATTTTCTTCAGGGAGAAAATATGTTTCGTTCCAACAAGTTGATAGAAAAATATTTCAAGACCAGAAACCGATTCATATTTTGGTCCTTCAGTGGAAGAACTACCCACATATTGCAAGTGTGCAGACTCTGAATTTTGTACAAAGCACCCTAAGCAACTTAAACAAAGTGAATTTAGTCTTTAGCAGGCCATTATGAACAAGCATGTGAAGTTGATCCTGTGCATCTAACAAGCAAAAACATCATAAGACCTCTTTAACAGGATTGCCTACAGCAGCATGCACCAACCGTCATGATATATGGTTTGATTTGTGAAGTTTCATTGGAGCCAATCTAATCAAAGACATGCATACAAGCACACAAACAAAGGAAGAGCAAAGTAAAAACAGAACAATCCTTGCAGCATAATGAAGATGATCTTCTAAACATTATCTTAATATGTTGCAGCTCAGAGTCAGAATATCTTCAACAAGGTCAGTATGATCCAAAAGGGGTCAGAATACATATAGTTTTCAGCTAGCATCGGCTAACTGAAACACTAGTCTCATCTCAAAAGGCCAAAAGATTTGAGGATGTGTGTTATACTTGTTAAGGATGGACGAAGATAAGTAAAGAACTTGCTTTTACACAGTAATAGTGAATACTGATATATGACAAATTAAAATTAGTATGTGTTCAACACTGAGCTGGGTCAAAATGTGACATGTATCAGGCTACAAATTTCAAACAACGGGTATCATTGTGCACATTTTGACATCTATGGGAACAAAAGCGCATGCCACATCTCACACAAGTATAATTGGCAGAAAAACCACAAACGGTACAGAAGTGGCGACGGGAAGTTGAGCTTGGAGGTCCAACTGCTGCTTTCCAATAGGAAGGAACATGTGGAGGCAATGATTCTAAGTTTGCCTGCATTTGTAAGAGATGGGTTAGTAATAATAATAATAAACCAAGGTAAGAGTAAACTATGAGTGTGCTATGCGTATGATCTCTTCTGGGTTTAATCAATCACCTCATGCAAGAGCTCAAGGAATGTTCTTGGGGCCTTCCTAGCTTCAAGTGCTTTTGCACCCCTGGTTTTCCTTTTGGTGCCTTTGGACTGCTTTTTCTGCATATACACTGCATAAAATAAAATAAAGTGAATTCTCTTAAGTTTAAGGGCTCTTTATTTGTATTTTTTAATTAAACAAATATGCCTACATTTTTAAAAATAAATCCCAAAAAAAGGTCGTGTTTTTTCATAAAAAGCCCCTGCACAAAAAATAAAATAAAATATGCAATTAGCCAATGAAAATAATTAAAATGAATCCTATGAAGATTCAGGGCTGTTTATGTTTGTTTTTTTTAAGAATTTTTTTTATTTTAATTAAAAAATGTATCTAAATTTTTTAAGATAATTAGATAAGTTATTTTTTAAAATAAAAAAAAAACAATTAAGAGAATTATCTTTTTAAAAGATATATAATTGTGTCATTTTAAATGAGAGAAAAATATAATATAATAATTTTTATTTAAAATTTAAAATTTAAATAAAATAACCAACTTTCTTTCCCATTGTTTCCATTGTGTGTCTTAAAAGGACATTACTATGTCCTTTAAAAAGGACATACAATAAAAAGATGGAATTTATTAATCTCATGTTAAAGAAGATAATTATCTCATGTCACAGAGACAAATTAGTGGGCTCCACCACTTGAAAAAAGAAAAAGGTGACACATTTATCGAAGGATGTGTAAGAAAACTTGTCTCATGAGAATAAGTTTTCCCTAAAAAAATATACTTAGAACTTAAAAGTTTTATAAATTCTTAAGATCAAATTTTAACCATTAATTTTTGATAATATAACGGAACAGTTATAATTTATTAAAAATTAATAATTAATTAATAAGTGTGACCCAATAAATTATAATTACTGTATTGACAAAAATCAACATTAAAATTTGGTGATAAAAAATTGTAAAACTTTTAGGTTACAAGCTTAGTAAATGTTTTTATTTTTGTGCTTTTTTTTTAAGCCCTGGGCAACAAAATAATTCAATAAGAAAATAAAGGGGAAAAAAGAGAGAGAGGAAAACAAATAAAACCCTAACCTTGATCATCGTCGTCTAGAGAAGCTTCATCATCGTCATTATTGGGATCTGCAACCTCAAATCCTGCATTGTCATTCTCCAGAGCATCCAATCGTGCAAGAGCCGCCTAAATCGATTTGAATTGTTAACAAAAACAAAGCTACCCATAAATAAAGTATTCAGATTTCAATTCGTACTAAAAAAATAAAAATCCAAAAATAGAGAGCAGAAAAGCTAGAGATAGAAAGAAACCTGGGTGCGGTTGTCGCTGCTAGCAAGTGCTGAAGCCATTTTGGACGCAACCTTCCGGGTTCGGCTTGACATGCGTCGAATTGAATTGGAACCATCTTCCTCCATTTCTTGGCGAATCACAAATACAAAAACAGCCCTTACTGTGTTTTCACAACCAGAGATGATAACGATAACAAGGAACTTCAACAGGTATTCAATTGAAACTTGAAACTCTTCAATAGGGGTTGGAGCAAGCACTTGATGTGTTATCGGATAAAATTGAATATAATATTAATAGAAATCTATTATAACATTTTTTAAGGAATTTTTGTTAGGAAAAATTGTTTGTCATTTTAAATGATATAAACTTACGTCATTTTAAGAGAGAGATAGACACATGATTTATTTTTTTATTTAAAATTTAAATTAAAAAAAATCATCCACTTTCTCTCTCCCGTGATTTTCATTTCATGTGTCTTTCTCTCTCCTAAAATGACATAATTTATGTCAATTAAAACGACAAACATCAGACCCTTTTTGTTAATAGTCGAATTCTCGATAATTCTAAAAAACAAAATCAATATATAAACGTTTAATTAATTCAAATGTCCCTAAATATATGACTATATTAGTTGGCAAAAAATTATAAACCCAACATATTAATTTTGTTTATAATTTTATTTTTTAAAAATCGTTAAAAAATTTATTTTTCTTAAAATTTTATTATTATTTTATTAAGGGTTTAATTTTTTGTTTTTATTGCGAAATTTTTTCTCTATCATATTCATATTCAAGTAAGTATAAGTAAAATTTTATCACTAAGAGCGATGAGTGCTGCGAACCCTTAGAAACCGATGGGAGTGAACAAGGTGATCATGGTAAGAACCCTGAGAAATCAAGTGAAGAGCGTGACATCCTCCAAAGGAGCAATAAGAGGAATAAAGGAGAAGGGGACAAGTTCTCAAATGATGTGTCTATGATTCCTAGGCAAGAAACTTGGATGGAAAATGAGGATGGACAACGATCAACCTGGAGAGAAATACTGATGCGTCATAATGGTGAAGATGATGACTGGGAAAAAGGAGAGGTTGAGGGAGAAGAAATAACAGGAGAGGAACCTGTTGAGGAAGAAGATGTCAATCATGGAGGGATCAAGATGTAGGATGAAGAAGATGGACGTACCCATTTTAGTTGCACCAAAAGAGCAAGAAAGCGAATGCAGAAACCATGGGAAAAAGCTTTGGTCGTCAAATTACTTGGGAAGAAAGTAGGTGTGGAATTCATGAAGAAAAAAATTAGCACTCTCTGGGTGAGAAAAGGAAAAATCAATGTTACTGACGTTGGAAATGACTTTTTTGTAGTCCAGTTTAGTGATAAGGAGGATCTCAACTTTGCTCTAAATGGTGGTCCATGGGTTGTCCTGGGTCATTATTTATCGCTGAGGAAATGGGAACCAGCGTTTAGACCGAATGGTGCTGGTATTACTAAGATTGCTGCTTGGATTAGACTTCCAAATATTCCTATCGAGTTCTATGATGTAGCCTTTTTTAGAAGGATAGGAAATTGGATAGGAAAGTTGCTTAAAGTGGATAGCACTACAAACGCTCAAGCAAGAGGTCGATTTGCCAGAATCTGTGTTGAATTGGATCTGTCACAGCCATTAAAGGGAGAGTATGTCCTTGATGGTTTTACTAAGCAAATTGAATATGAAGGGCTATGCCTCATTTGCTTTGGCTGTGGGAGATATGGTCATAATACTAAGGGATGTTCTGCTGCTCCAAAGAATGCTGTTCCAAAGAATCATACCCCAGAAAACGATCAAATTATGCCTCACGTTCATGAGGAGGGTTCTGGAAATTCAGGATTCAAGCGTAGCATTGGGCTGGGACCGTGGATGGTCGTCAACCTCCATCAGAGAAGCCGTCAACCAGCTCATCCAACGTCTGCAGGCCAGACTGGCTCTAGTTCAAAACCGTTACCAAGGAATAATGGCAAAGGAGTTATGATTAGCGATAATCATGGTGATAAGGAGGCAATCATGCAATCTCGTTTTGCTGTTTTAACGGAAACAAAAAATCCTATTAATGAGGAAGATCATAACCAAAGAATCCAATCTTCTCTCATTAATTCGGAAACTAATCAGCCGGTTATTCTTTCCAAATCGTGGACTAAATCAAAAAAGAATAAAGATCCTACTAGGGCTAACATAACGGAAATTAAGAGCCAGATTGTTTCCGTTTCAAGTGTGAGTCAGCATCGACCTATCCAGCAGCAAACAAACGACCATCACGTCATTCAACCTTCTTCCACAGACGTCGATCCTATGTCTTATACTCCTTCCATTCAGCATGCTCAGGTTAATAGGATGATTGAAGATCCCTCCACTGTTCAGAATGACGGTCAGTGGCATGGAACTTTTGTTAAAAAGGGCCCTGATAGAAACGATGTTGTCGCTGATATTCCTATTAATCCATGGGCATGGATGTGGATAAAGAACGAATTGATGTTAGTTCACATATGGAGGATACAAGAACCTCAGAGTCTTGTGCTCAACCTAGTTTTTAATGAAGTTGATCTTTTGGAACTGTAGGGGTGCAGTGAAACCCCAGTTTCAGAAATCTCTTTCTTTGTTCACTCATAAGCATAAGCCTAGCATTGTGGTTATCCTTGAACCTCGATGTAGTGGGCGAAAGGCCACTGCCATAATCCGTAAAACTGGGTTTAAATATTCTTTTGTTCAAGAAGCTGATGGGTACTCAGGGGGTATTTGGGTTCTTTGGAATGACGAGGCTGGTCTCATCGATATTATACATCATAAGAAGCAGTTTGTCCATTTTAAAGTTCAGAATCCTTCTTTCCCTTCTTTCTCTTGTACTGCAGTTTATGCAAGCCCTAGAGATGACCTTAGAAAGGATCTTTGGGTGGATTTGATTAACTTTGGTCTCCATTGTAATGAGCCTTGGCTGGTTGCGGGAGATTTTAATGAAATTGCTCATCGCAATGAGAAGAAAGGTGGTAGTCGAGTTGACACAAATAGATGCTCCAAGTTCGCAACCATTCTTAATGACTGTAAGCTCATGGATCTAGGGGGATCGGGTCCTTGGTTTACATGGAAAGGTCCAAAGTTTTTACATCTTGATCGTGTTTTCAAAAAGCTTGATCGTGCCTGTGGAAATGCTAGCTTGAAGACCACTTTTACAGATGATGGTGCTAAAGTTTTACCTAGGGTTTATTCTGATCATTACCCTATTATGGTCCATCTGACCAACTTGGATAATGATTGGAGAAGACGACCCTTCCGTTTTGAATTGGCTTAGATGGAGCGTTATGATTTTAAAAGATTCTTAAATAGTTGCTGGAATAATGAAAAGGATACAAGAACAAATCTGCAAGACCTGACGCCAAGGCTCAAGAATTGGAATAAGACAGTCTTCGGTAACATCTTCAGTAGGAAAACTAACCTGCTGAACAGTATCGAAGAAATTCAGAAGCATGTTGACTATCATTCTGATTTGTCTCTTCAATCCAAAGAAAAGGAGTTTAGGAGGGATCTCGATACAGTTCTTATTCAAGAAGAAATCCTTTGGTTTCAAAAGTCCAGAATAAAGTGGATAAATGATGGGGATAGAAATACAAAATTCTATCACATTAAGACAGCATCCAGAAGAAGTTGTAATAAGATTCTTGAGCTCAAGAATTCTGATGGAATTTGGGTTAGGGATGTTCGACAACTGCAGAACCTGGCAACAGATTTCTACAGTAATTTATTTTGTGAAGATATCCATATTCGAGACTGGGTGAAAACAAAGAATACTTGGCCTTCTCTTAATGTGGATCTCTTGGCAAATATGTCTCATAATCTTGCTGATGAAGAAATTTCAAAAGCTGTTTTTAGCATCAATGGCTCAAAAGCTCCAGGGGAGGATGGGTTCCCTGCTGTTTTCTATCAAAAGAATTGGAATCTTATTAAGGCTCATATTCTTCATGATATTCATATGATGTTTCAGAATCCTAATCTGATCCATCTTGTCAATACTACTATTTTAGTTCTCATTCCTAAAGTCAAGAGACCTGAAAGTGTGAAGCAGCTTCGACCAATCTCTTTATGCAATGTATCCTACAAAATTCTCAGCAAAATTCTGGTTAACAGACTGAAGCCTTTAATGGAAGAGATGGTGTCTCTTTTCCAAGCTAGTTTTGTTCCTAAGCAGCATATCCAGGATAATATTATCATCACCCAAGAGCTGATCCATTCAATGAGACGGATGAGAGGTAGGAGATGTTTCATGGCGATTAAAATTGACTTGGAAAAGGCATATGACAAGTTAAGCTGGGATTTTGTGCACAAAGTTTTGGAGGAAATCCAAATCCCACAATGGCTTATAATCCTTATCATGAATTGCATTAAGTCTGATAAGGTATCAGTTCTGTGGAATGGAGCTATCGCTGGAGATTACCTTCCTTCTAGAGGAGTTTGGCAAGGAGATCCTCTATCACCATATATTTTTGTTCTAGCCATGGAAAAATTATCCCATATCATCCAGGATGCTGTTGATAATAAAAGCTGGAAGCCAATTTCAGCCGGATCTAAAGGCCCTAAAATTGCTCATCTCATGTTCGCTGATGACTTGATGCTGTTTGCAGAAGCCTCTCTAGATCAAATCAATATTATCTTGGATTGTTTGAGGACTTTCAGCTCCATGTCTGGGTTACAGGTTAGTATCCCAAAATCCAGTATTTTTCTCTCTAAAAATATGGATCCTCATATTGCTGATGAAATTACGTAAGTGTGTGGTTTCAAGAAAACTCACAATATTGGGAGATATCTTGGATCCATGATGAAGCATGGCCGAGTTTCTAAAGTCCATTATGCGGATGTTGTTGAGAGAATCCGGCACAAGCTGGCTGGGTGGAGTAACCAGGTCTTATCTTTTGCTGGTCGTGTTACTTTATCCAATTCTGTTATTTCAGCCACTCCCAACTTCCAGATGCAGAACAGCCTGCTACCTGTAGCTATTTGTGATGAAATTGAGAAGCTGCAAAGAGGTTTTATATAGGGTGACACTCATGATCAAAGGAGGACTCATCTTGTTGCTTGGGATAATCTTTATAAGCCTAAGTGCATGGGTGGTTTAGGGGTGATCAATCTTAGAATCCAAAATAGAGCTTTCTTTCATAAGCTTGCTTGGAATTTGATTAATTCGCCTCACTCATTGTGGGCTCGTGTTATATCCAGCAAATATAGGCGAGGGGTGGATCTTCGAAGGGAGGTGATTCACAAAACCTATGATTCATATTTCTGGAAAAACCTGTGTAGTGTGTGGCCTTCGTTTCTTCAAGCAACTCGTTGGGACATTGGTGATGGTATTGATACGATATTCTGGAAAGATAATTTGCATGGTCTATCAGATAGTCTTGTATCTCTTGCTACATCAATGCCTACGTTGAATGATATGCATCTTCCTGCTAGCCATTTTGTGAGTAATGATGGTCAATGGAATTATTCGTACATGCATCAATATTTCACTGACCATGTTATTGCTAGAATTTCTGCAATCCCTACTCCTTGCGAGTCAGCTGGACCTGATCGAATTATTTGGAAGAATAAGAAGGTAGGTTCTTCATTGGTAAAAACTGCTTATTATTCTATGCTTAATTTCCCTCTTAAGAAGGTGCAAAATACTTGGTCTAGCTTGTGGAATTGGAATGGTCCTCCGAGAGTTAAAGCATGCATGTGGATAATTATGCATGGGCGGCTTCTCACTAAGGATCACACAGCTACTTGGAGTGGTGGTCACAGTTTTTGTTTGTGTTGTCTTGGTGAGTTGGAAACGAATCTCCATGTCTTGCGTGATTGTAAGCATGCTCGTGGAATCTGGGACTATCTACTATTACCTCATCATATGAGCTCATTCTATAGCGGCGACTAGGGAGGTTGAGTTGAGAAGAATATTACAATGTCATGGGGTCATGAGAGCCTAGATGATTGGCGTGATTTATTCTTCATCTCTTGTTTGTTTTTATGGGGTTGGAGAAATAAAAGTGTCCATGATTCTAGCTTCACTCATCCCACTCATGGGTTGAAATTGATTCGTATGTATATTGAGGAGATGTACAACAATAAGGGCAGGAAGCTTTTGCAGACTAGTAGCTCCAGTAATACCCGATCTGTTAAGTGGATACCACCGAGAGTAAATTGGGTGAAGATCAATGTTGATGGAGCGGTCGAAAGGATTGGCGAAAGGGCTGCTTGTGGTGGGTTAATCCGTTCTGCTGATGGTTTATGGCTTGGTGGTTTTGAGTATCATAGTGGTGCTTGTACTCCAGTTATGGCAGAATTGTGGGGAACCCTTAAAGGTTTGGAGATATGCTGGCAATTGGGGTTTAGGAAGGTGGAACTAGAAGGAGATGCTTCTGAAGTTTTCTCTGTTCTTGCAGATTGCAATGCAGCTTGTCAGCCGCGCATCGTGGCTAAGATACAAGCACTTATTACTCAGGACTGGGAGGTTACTCTTACTCATATTCCTAGAGATGCAAATTCATGTGCAGATTGGTTAGCTAAGTCTGCTCTTCATAAAGGATCTGGATTTTGGCATCATCAAATCATGCCAAATCAGCTTGCTCATCTTTTTGCTCAAGATTTCCATGGGATTATTGACCCTGGATAGTTTGTAGTTTTTGTTTGTTTTCTGTTGGTTTTTGTTTGGGGATATGCCCCTTATTGTTATAAAAAAAAAAAGTAAATATAAGTGACTTTCATTAATCTTTTCTTTCTCTTCGTTTTATGATTATTTTTCGCTTTGTTAAATAACGAACTTGACTTTGTATGCTCAAGGGCACAAAAAAGTTAGAACGAATCAAGTGTAAATGACCTTTAAATAATTTTTTTTTTTTTAAATCTCAACTTTCTATTTTTTTTAAAAAATCTATAGTTATAATAGACTGACGGTAGATTCTCTCATGTTAAAAAAAAAAAATATGACAATGATTATATAAGGAATCATAACCATACAAAAGTGGACCAATGGTGATAAAAAAAATAATATTGAAATAAATAATTACAAAATTATCACTATTAATTTACTCTTATATGATTGTGATTTTTTTTCCATGCATATCATGTTTTTTTGGTATCTATTTTCCTCTTTACAGTATAATTGTTATCTTTGTCTATCTCAACAAAAAAATCTAAAGAAAAAGTTTAAATTATTTTTCTTTTCTCTTTATTTTAAAATATTACAAGCCCGATGACAGATTAATAATTATGCAGACAAAAGGTTTGAGTTTTCGTCCATTTTACCTATTCACTTGTGAAGTAAAAGTAAGAGATACATGACTTTTTTTTTTTTTTTTTTTTGGTAACAAGAGATGCATAACTTTGCTCTACAGAGAAACTACAACATTATCTATTCTTTTTCCTAAAAGAACAATGAACTAGTCTTCATCTAAATACTAGATCTCAAATATTCACACATAATCAAGTAAATCAGGCTATTTACTGGGTATTAACAAATAATGTATTAACTCTTAATGCTAAGTTAACAAATTCCTATAACAGCCTTTGAGATCACCACAATGCAGTTGAAGAAATCAATTCTATCCTCTTAGGATTTGTTGATGAACCACTAAAACAGAAGCTGAGCCAGAAAAATCTTCAGAGGAAACATAGTCTCCAATTAGTCCCAACTCTTCATTTTCACCCCATTCTGATAATCCAGTAAGAAGAACAGGGTTTATCCCTTGTTTCCTTCCCACTATCAAAAGATCATAACCACCATCATTCATAGCCTGAATTGCTGCTATTGTTTCTTCTCCATCTCTAACCACAACCTCTCTATACAACACTCTTTGATTCACCTCATTCTTAACCCAAAACCAAGTCACTGTTCCATCATCAAGCTTCTTCTCCATTTCATCATCCCCTATATAGTTATGAGAAAGGAACCTTATCACTGTCAGAGACACATCTTGGTTATCAATCAACCTATCTGCATAAACAAGAGCTTCTCTAGCATCTGCACCACCCAGAAACAACACAGCAAATCTATATCTACATTGACGAAAAGAATTTCCCAAGGGGGTGATTTCAAGAAGACCCTTATCAACAAGAATTGCAATAGAGCAAGGTGCATGCTTTAACACTTGTAAATTCGGAGATAGCATCTTCTTGTAAGGTAAGATGATTAAAGAAGCATCTTGTTCAAGTGATAGCTCACAAATGTCTTGGAACATTGATTGCTTTGGTGCCACAGCTGTGAAATATTGTAGCTTCACAAACACTCCTCTATGTTGTTGATAACGCTCAAGGGCATTTATGGTGTTTGTCCATTGATAAATTTGAGGCACTTCTTGTTTCTCATGGTCTATGAGCAAAGGGTTAGCACGACCTTCAAGCTCGATTAGTCTAAGAGCAGAAACTAAAAGTGGACTTGTTGAGGTTGGATTTGAGAGATCAAGTAGATGGATGAGGCCATTTATGCTTTCAGCATCAAGAACACATAGCACTATTCTAAGTTCTGCGTTTGGAGGGTTGTGTTGGATGTTCCTCCTTTGGTTCACAATGTATGGTCTTGTTGGATCATATAATATGGAGATCAGAGGTGTGAAAGTTGCAGTCAGTGCTGTTGTCATTAGCACTAATAATGTGAAGCCTGGCGGCTTTAAGACCTGTATAAATGCACGCACAAAAACCACAATAATTGGATTGAGTTCTTTGAAACCTTTTTGTTTCTATGTCCATACATGATTATCCTTCATGTCAAAAAAGGAAAACACTTAAAAGAATGAATTTTCAAGCTTCTAATAGATAACTAAATTATAAATTATGGGTTTGATATTTCTTCTGTGATCTCAAAATGACATTGTTTTAAGTTTGGCGAAAGATATATACCACTATATTTGCATGAAAATCTTTCATAATGATTTGTTTATGTAGCAGCTACACATAACTATATGTCTATGGAATTATTTAACCAAATACTACATAAGAAATAGATGTAAAAGTGAACTAAGTATTAAAGGAAATATAAGGTGGTGGAGCTTTTACCCTTTTGTCCATCAAGTGCACAAACAATAGGAGTTCAATTTGGCCTCTTAAGCTCATAATGAGGCTGAAGGTTAGTCCATCCCTGAGTGGCATGCGCCAATAGAAAGCAGCAATCCAAGTGGAAAAGAATTTGGTCAAGTAGCCAGTTAAAACCATAACAAACAATGGTGACAAACTAGACCAATCAGCAGCAACCATGGCAAAAATATCAGTATATGATCCAACAATAACGAATGAGAATGGCAAAAGGAACTCTGTCATAATTGTCTTGCTCTTGTTTACAAGTGTTGCTCCTAAACGTGGGCCATCAGGAATTGCTAAGCCCAACCACAAAGGCCCATTAGCAATAGCTATACCTAACATGTCAGTTATAAAGCCCATCACAAAAACCCCTAAAAGAATAGCAACCACATAAGACTGATCCACTGGTTGACCTTCTGGGGTTTTCTTATTTATCCAAACCATTGCAGGCCTAACACAAAACAAAATAAACGCCATCAAGCTAAATAGACAAAGCATATACCACAAAGCATTCTCTGTTCTTGATTCTCCTTGTTTCCCTGCCTCAAATGCTACAACGGTACCAACACCAAAAGCATCTCCTATCATTGCTGTGGACAATGCCGTTCTCCCTACATCTGAGTTCAAAAGATTAAGCTCTTTGAGGACATTGTAGAGAACAGGAAATGCCGTGATCCCCAAGTAACCTGTAAGTATTCCTATTGAAGAAATCGTGGCTAGTTCTGCATCCATGTTCTTTCTCATGTATAGAGCCACCGAAAAAACTGACATTGTGGGAACGAGTATACCAAAAATTGCTGTAGACACGTGCATTCTTCCTGACTTTCTTAATAGGCCAGGATCCATCTTCACACCATAAATGAAAAGAAAGAACATGAATCCCATTACTCCAAGATTGTTCACCAGGAATTGTGCTGTCGCTGGCATCATGTGACGTTGAAACCATTTACTTCGTCCAAGAACAGAAGGTCCAATTATCATACCCCCCTTGAAGAAGAAAAAAAAAATGAATTTTTTTATGATATACAAAACTTTATGATAAAATTCAAGGGATTAATATTTTTTACGTCACTGAAGATAATTTTATCTCCTACACTCATAAAAGTACGTGGGACGTATTTTTTTCCTTCTCTTTTTACTTTTTACACGACAACACATAGATCCCATACACTTTTATTCATGTGCAGGAGATAAAATTATATATTATAACGTAAGAAACATTAACCCAAAATTTAATATAAGAAATAATAATGATGATATTATTAAGAAGCTTACGATTATTTGAGAAATGATTACGGGTTGTCTGAGAGGCTTAAGAAGAAAACGAACAGTGCGAGTGATGGCAATGACGAGAATGAGATGGAAAATTAGTAGTGAGAAGGGGTAAGCTAAAGGGTTGTCACCATTAGTTAAGATGCCAGAAGGGTGAAAATCATTAACTGAATGACACAGAATGGGAAGGGGAGTTGTAGAGTTAGTGCCAATCTTTACCATGTTATCTTGCATGACACGATGAGATTGAGAAGGATAATTAAAGTGTTGCTGTTTCTGCTGCCATCCATTGGGTGTTTGTAGCAAACGGTTTGCTGGGTATAATCTAGTCATGCATGAAATTTTCTGGAAACCATATACACATGAAGAATCACATAGGGAAGAGAGAGAGAGAGAGAAGAGAAACAGGGCCTACAAAGGATTGTGGATATACGTCAAAGTGGGAGAACTAGTGCTCCCCTTTCATTCTAATGGTTAACCATGCTTTCTTTATTTTGTGAGGTAAATATTTCACTTAATTTTTCTTTTTCTTTTTTGTTTATTTTATAATTATTTTTATATATTTCATACATCTTAAAAACATGTTTTGTTGATAATTAATTGACGAAAGTGATTAGTCTGAATTCAAATTACCTCTCTCTCTCTCTCTCTCTTTCTCTCTTTCTTATCTTTTCAATTAAAAAAATAATATAACAAAGGTGCAGGTTATTTTACAAACTTTTTTGTTTACAAACTACACTAAGTACAATCGGTCATACTTTAATCATACAGCGTACGACCGGTCGTACTTAGTGTAATTTGCAAAAAAAAAATTGTAAACGGATCATATCCCTATAACAAATATCATGTGGGTCAACTGGTAGAGTTGTTCCAATTTATAGTCTTGTCCTATTAGAATTGGATTAGTTAAGAAATTCATGAATTGGTGGGAAAATATAAAAAAAAAGACCTTTTTTCTTTTAAATAAACAGTTTTTTTTTTGTGAGATATTATTTTTCAATTAAAAAATAAAAGAAACAGAAAAAAAGACTAGTGTTGGAAAACCCTACTCAACCAGGATGAATCGATTAAGGAACCGATAAATCGATCATATAATTAATCTGAGCAAAATAATAAATTGGATAAACAGTGAAACTGATGCAACTCGGCTGAATTTTGTAAAAATCATCGATGACTCGTCCGATTCAGATAAAGCCGAACATATTATGCATGTTTATTTAAAAAAAGAAATACCAAAACTCCTCGTTTATCAATAGGGTCTATCAATGTACCAAAGCACCATGCTCATCTACCAACTCTGAATTGTTGTTTGAGAAGTCCAAAACATAATGCATCAAAAGAGCTAGCTTTCCTTGCATAACATCGCCAATCATCATCATGAATTTGGCTTCGGTGTGAATTTGATGAAGAGAGCATAAATTTGACATAACATTTTACTCCTTCGACATAATTATATATTTTTATGCTGGCAATTTGACTTGTTTATTTTCTCTTGATGGTGGCAAGAGTTAATGTTGTAAATTTGTGATAAATATTAAATGTTAAGGACATAACAAATACTGTATATTTTTTATTTTACTTTATTTGGATAATGGTGTGTGATTTTTTATTTTGCATATTAGAATATTGAAATTGATATAATTATTTACATGTATTTGAGTATGATTTTGGAATGTTGAATATAGGGTCAATAAGTTGAACCAATAACACACTAGATGAATTAATAACCCGGTATCTAAATTCCCTAAACCAACCTCAAGACAGCATATATTTTCCTTCTTTCTATACTTTTCTTTTTGGTCACGTGTAACGGCACAAGTGGGTCGTTGTGATTACGGGTTGGATGTCTAATTGTCCACGCAATAATGATAGTATCTTATACCGGTACTTTCCCAAATTGACGGAATCCCTGGTAATTTTGTTGGAGGATATTTTTTCACATTTTGGTTATGGTCTTATGCAGTATATTCTTGTAATATCGGGAGTATGTACTTTCTTATAAAAAAAAAAAATGAATATGAAAGAAAATAATCACAAAGGAAAAAATAATATAAAAGTGTTACTTTTTTACTTTTGGTAAAGAATATACTAAATGGTCGATACTGAAAATATTTTGGGTCTTACGGTTCCTATTAATTTTATGAACATCTGAGAAAAGGAGTAAATGGCCGAGGCGAAGCTACAAACATGATGGCCCATTATATAAATTCAGTGCCAGTTGTCGGACCCAATTATTGCAATCAATAGTAGGCCCATGAAGAATGAAAATTCAGCAAATAATCAGAGATTCAGAAGAATTCAATATGGTGCAGCTAAACTTTAGCCGCCAAGTGTCAGGGTACAGAATTAAAAGCCATTGTGGAACCCAGTTTTTATAATGATACTGATAAGGATAGTGCTAGTCCTGTACAAAATTTGTATATAATATTGGTTTGTAATAATAATAATATGGAAAATGATATTCATATGAACAATGTAAATCACTAATTTTGATAAAGAAAAAGGAGAGGAAAAAATGGTGATGAAAATAATTCATATATATATATATATATGGAGAGGGTTATATTTACAAATTTTTTGTTTACAAACTCTTACAAATTACACTATGTTCTTCCGGGAGAACACTAAGTTATACTATGTTCTTCCTGGAGTACATAGTGTAATTTGCAAAAATTTAAAAAAAATTGTAAATTGATCCTTCCCTATATATATTGTTGGAAACTCGGTTCCCTCAAGTGGGCTGAATAGTCTTTTTGCGGAAGTCAGTCCATGAGATCCTGGATCTCGGATCTCGACAATTACCTTGGCCTGAACTTCACCAGATCGGGCAGCGCAGCGAAAAATAAAAAACACAAACAGGAGAGAGAGAAGAAGAACACAAACAGATTTTAACGTGGGAAAATCTTCTCCAATGAAGAAGTTACCCACGGGACCGAGTCCAGATAAAAAATTCACTATGAAAATAATGGTTACAAATAATCAAATTCACCAATGTGGTGGTTAACTCAACCTCTCCAACAACAGTGATAATCAAACCTCCCTATAATTGTTTCACTCAAACTCTCTAGAGATCTCTCAAACACAAAGCGTAGAGCTTTGCTCTCAAATCTCTCAAGTATCACTCAAGAGTCTCTCAAATATTTTTCTTCCTCTAACCTAGCCTCCACCCACAACTAATGAATATATAGAGGAGGTGAGATCTAGGGTTTAGGGTTTTTAGGAAACCCCTCTATGGGCTTGAGCTTAGCATTGAAGGAGGAAGCCCAACATATATATACATATATATATATATATATATATATATATATATATATATATATGGACATGATATTTTTACACCGGTGTAAGTGTTAGAAGTCTTACACTCAATCTATATATATAGACAATATATTCTTATACCGGTGTAAGAGTTAGAAGTCTTACACTCAATCTTGACCATTAATCCACTTGTATCCAAGGGCTCACATTACTAAAAAATTTGAGCCCTTAGATATAAGTGGAATTAATGGACAAAATTAAGACTGTAACTTACACTAGTGTAAAATGATTCTGACCCAAATATATATATATATATATATATATATATATATATATATATATATATATATAGAGAGAGAGAGAGAGAGAGAAAGAGAGAGGTAGGATCCTTTGACACCTCATTTGAGAACCGTTAGATAAAAAAAGATCAACAGTGTCACATGTTTATGAATCAGAGGCGTTGATCTTTTTTGATCTAACGACTTTCAAATGAGGTGTCAAACTTCAAATTTGACACTGGTGTCAAATGATCCTGCCTCTTTATATATATATATATATATATATATATATATATATATATATATATATATGGGATTTGTTAATCTACTGTAGCAGAAGATAACTTATCATATGATATAGGTACAAATTGCGTGGGTCCCACCGTTTTTCAAAAAAAAAAAAAAAAACAATGGCACAACTTTCAATGTTTCACTCACACGGGAGAATTCTCTTCTGTGACATATGATAATTTAAACCCTATATATATATGAGTCAGGATCATTTTACACCAGTGTAACTTACACTGTCAATCTTGTCCACTGATTCCACTTATATCTAAGGGTTCAAATTGTTTAGTAATGTGAGTCATTTGATATAAATGGATCAATGGCCAAGATTGAGTATAAGACTTATAACTCTTACACTGGTGTAAGAATATTCTGCCCCTATATATATATATATATATATATATATATATATATATATATATATATATATATTGAAATATGATTCATTGTAATATATTGTTATTGTCAAATTAAGTTCATTATTTTTTTTACAAAATCTTGGTACCATTTGAAATGTATGAATTAGCCTACCAAAAAAAAAAATGTATGAATTAATTCCCCGGAACTAAAGTTTTCAGAAATTAATTAAAAGGCTTGTTTTCCCTTAAAAGCTTGATCCATTTATAGTTGAAACAATCATTCTCACCAAGCATAATCATTTTGGTCTGCCATTCCCACTGCCACTCCATTGCGCAAATTAATTTCTGTTAGCTGCTCTCTTGTAAGGCACGACCATCATTCATTGCCACCCATACCTTGTTTTCCAAACAATTAATGCGACAGAATGTGTATTTACATATTTTCGGGACATTGACCATATTGCCATTCCTTTAATAAAAATTTACCTGATTGTCACTTCTGGAAAAAAATTTGCCAAAATGCCACGTCTGAATCCCGCTGGTCTGACAAGCGGGAATGGACTGGACACGTGTCAGCGTCTGAATGGTGAACTATTCTCGCTGGGCTGCTCAGCTAGAATGACAGAATGCTGACACGTGGCAAAAGCACAGACATCAGGATGTCAGCATTCTGTCATCCTGATGTCTGTGCTTTTGCCACGTGTCAGCATTCTGTCATTCTAGCTGGGCAGCCCAGCGAGAATAGTTCACCATTCAGACGCTGAAACGTGTCAAGTCCATTCCCGCTTGTCAGACCAGCGGGATTCAGGCGTGGCATTTTGGCAAATTTTTTTTCAGAAGTGGCAATCAGGTAAAATTTTGCCTAAAAAGTGGTAGTACGGTCATTGTCCCCATATTTTCATGAAGTGTAAAGAAATTAATCTTAATTATTTTTTTTTTAAAATAAACAGACAAAATTAATTCTATTTAAATTTAATAGGTGACTGCGAAGATTTTAATTTTTCAAGAATAAAGATCAAATATTGTAAATAATATAAAC